TCCCCATACCTATCTCCGGTGTAACTTTTCTTGATATGGATTTCTTCAAAAGAAAAAATAATTTCCTCTAATATTTTTTTAAAAGCTCGTAAATATTAGAGGAAATTATACAATGATAAGTAAAAAACAAACCAGAAGTGGGCGGCCATTGATTTCTCTGGAGTATGTTTTGTTGTCTGGGTTAGTTAAAGCCTCGTAAGCTGCTTGTGGTGGCAATCCTAATGTATATTCCATTGTCAGAGTGGAAAAGCTATCAATTTTATGGTCTGTATGCACCTTCAAATATAAGAAAATATAAATGAAAATATGGGTCATTTCATAGTTCAATATAATATATATATATATAGATCAAGGTGAATGTTTTGTAATTTTGTTGGCTGATTTGTTCTTACCTTCATCGTAGGAGGAGGTTCATTATATTGTTCCTTCTTACTTGCATCTTTCCACAGCTTTAATTGCTCCTTCGTCTCATCTCTCTCATCGTGAGTTTTTGTCTCTCTCTCTGGCTTTGATTTACCATTTTCAGATTTTTTAGGCTGTTGAGTGTTCTGACTGATCCAGCCACCAAACAGACCAAACCCAGGAAATATACCCATTTACCCTCTGAAAATTTAGGACCCAAAGAGCTATGACGATGGAAAGAGTATCTGAGATATAAATACCGGGACAAAGATATAATTGACTTACCGGAGGACAAGGTCAACGGGACAAATCATGTACTGTATATACTATATGGTTTCAGCCTTAGGGACCTTAGAACAAAAATTTAGATATAGACAAAACACACACATATATAAAACTGAAAGAATAGAGAAGGTGAGTGTACCTTACGTTAACGTACCAAATGAAACATATCAAGACAGCTAAAGCCTCGTGACTTCTTTCTTGACGTACAAGCATTAATGTTGTCTCGAGAGCAACAAGAATATGGAAGATGTTTCTGCTGCAGTACCTGCAAGAAACCCGAGCATCCATATCTAATGAGCCTAAAAACATTGTTTCTTTCTTTTCAAAGCAATTTATCTATTACTATAATCTAATACTAGTTTAAGACCCGTGGAATTAACATTGTGTACACAAATTATTTTTACATATTATTATTTATTTTGTGTTCATTTACATATTATAAAATAATAATATATTGAATAATTGAGAAACTAGCGGTTATTATGTATATAAATAAATAATGGGTACTCTTTTATTTTGAAAATTTTAATTTTTTAATTTTTTAAAATTTGAAATCTTATCCCCAAAACTCCCACTATTTAAACTCTAAACCCCAAACCCTAAACCTTAAACCCTAGACCCCACATTTTAACTCTAAACCCTAATATCTAAATTAATCAATCCTAGGGGTATAAGTGAATATTTACTTTATTTTATAAAACATTAAGTCTATTTTGGCCATTTTTATTTTTAAGGTATATATTTGTGACAAAAACTTTTTTATATCTATTATAGGAAATTTCTCTTAAATTAAAATACATACATAAATCAAAACAATCACTTTGTTTATTTCCAAAATTTTTATTGGTAAATAAATCAAAACCATCATTTTTATTTATTTTACATGATATATAATTTAATATAAATGATATTCACATAGATATATAATATATTTTTATTATAGATATTTATTAATTGATACTTCATACTCATATGATTTTATTAACATTATAGTTTTGTAACAAAAAAATTGAACTTTTAATAATATTTTCAATAAGAGATTTTTAATAGTTTTAGTAATTTATAATAATTTTAAAATTTTTAATGCAAATTTCAAATTTAAAGTATTAAGGTCTTAATACTTTTTCAATACAAATTTTGATATTAACATATGTATGTATTTTTTATATAATATAAGTTTAGTTAAAAAATATTAATATATATAATATGGATATCTATGAAATAAGACTTTATATTCATATGATTTTATGATCGTATCTTATTATAAAAATAACAAATTAACCATTGATCACAAAAATTTCCGTGCGGGAATTTTCACTATTTTAGTAACTTATAGTTGGTCTTAAAAATATTAAAATATAGCATATAAGAAAAAATCTAAACTTTATTATATAGTTAATGTGATTTATTATTTTTTTAATAATATAAAATTAAGGATCTATTTGGTAGAAACTGTCGCTTTAAATTTTTCGTTGTAGAATTATAAATGTAAAATTTTTGTTGTAACTTTAAATTTATTATATTAAAATTTTGGTTGTAAGATTTTAGCTGTATATCTTTTTGAAAGTAAGATTGGTATAAAATTTAACACTATATTGACTTACCTATTTATTGACTGAAATCACCACCTTAAGTAGGGAAAAGTAAAATTGAATGCGGCGTCATGGAGTAAATAAATATCTTAAAGTGATGAATGTGGCTTCGAAATGTCTGGGAGGATAACACGAAACAACTGTAACGAACATAAGTCAGAGTCTATAGACAATGATTCGTTTCTTTGGATTCTCAGAGCACCATCAACCCAAGCTCCTATTTTGGAGTGCTTATTTTTTTTTCCAGATTTAAAAAAAAAATAGAAAAAGACCAATCGCGGGCCGCCACGTGGAGCCCGCGGAACAAGGCAAGCAACTCAGAAAATGAGGTGCTTATGGAGGTAACATAAGCAAGGGTGTTTGATTTTTTTTTGGCTTTTTGAAGCGGGAACCGAGGGTAAGCACCCCGATTAAAGATGCTCTCAGAGTCTCCATTGTTGTTTCAGCTGATGATAGATCGAGGAAGACGATGACACCTCAATTTCCAATTCGGATGAATACTCAATTTCCAATTGGGATGAATACTCAATTTAGTGAGGAACGATAGAATAGACCAGCCCATATTTCTTGTCGGAAGCCCCAATCAATGTTAGTTATTTGTAAAACCCGTTCGAGAAAACCATAAACGAAAGAATTATATGAATATGTAAAGTGCCACATGTAATTATCATAGGATCTTAATTAGTCACGTGGAACCCTCTAGATTGAGAGAATTACTTTATATATATATACTAGGGGTTGGCCCGTGCTACGCCCGGGATTTTTATTTAATTTTTAATCTTAATTATATATTTTGTATGTATATTTTAGCATAGAAATATATATTATAAACTATTAGTATAATATAAGTTGTAGACAATTTATCTTAAATCCTTCATTTCTTTTTGTCTTACAAAATTGAGCTTTTAATTTCTTTTCAATAATATATAAGGTAATGAGATACATGAACATAAAATTAATTAAATTTGAGTTAGATTGGTTAGATTGTAGAAATATTTCAATTCATTTAGAATTTAATAACTTTTGTTTTGAATTATCTTTTAAGTAATTTAATGGACTCCTAAAAAATTTACAATTAAACCGATATAAGCTACATTTACAATCAAATCGATATTAGCTACTTTTGTTTTGAATTATCTTTTTCCGCATTATAATCCAATAAATCGGACCCCTGATCTAAATATTTTTTTCTCTTACTTGTATAAGTTCTTATGTAAAATATTGCTAAATGTGACAAACATTTTTCTTTTAGTTTTAGAATACTTGAGTTCATAATTTTCACGGATATAAGAAATTAGTATTTTGAAATTTTTGTTCCACTTTGTCCTACATCTGTTTTGATTCAGTGTGGCTGGTGGTATCCTGCTTATCTTTTGTAGGAATTGTAAGTTTTTAACTTCTGTGGGTGTGATGCTTCTGAATTGTTGTTAAAATTTAGACAAAGTTTTCATTCTTCTCCTTTTGAGTCTAATTCATGTTCTCTAACACAATAATAATCTTGCTATAAGATATAATGATTTCTTTTTTTAAAAAACTTAAGTGTGAATGATTGACCATTATGAGATTATAAGTTCTGGTTTCTTTTTGAGAGGTTGGAAAACTTAACAATTATGGAATTTCAAAAGTTCTCTTTTCTTGTCTCATATTTTTTCTTTCATTATATCACTTTCTTTCTTGTCGATATAGTTTCTTTATTTTTCTTTGCAACATATTACAGCTTCAATCCATATTATATTGCCGTTTTCCAGTGATTCATTTTCAAAATTTTGAATGAAACAGTTACTTTTTATGGCATGCTCTATTTTACTGTTTTCCCACACCTTGTATATTATTTTTGAGACTTAATATTAAAAGCACATATTATATTTGAATTATAATAACAACATGGAACATAAGGTTACAGTAGTTCGATTACCTTCACACTCTAAAATTAACACTCTGCTTTCATGAATGGTTACTTATAAAGTTGGAATGACTTAAAAAGTTCTATGTGTTTGCATAAACCAAGAAGGTACATTATCAGATTTTTGCTTCAGAACGTTCTTGTGTTCCTGAGAAAAATGAACAGAAGCCAGCTTAATAGATTGATTTTCACTAAACTACAGAACATTTGGTGTGCAGGAGGTTGATTTGTCTATAATAATGACAGTAAGCATAGACAATGTAGCGAGAAAGTCAGCTGTCTAACACTCTAACTCTAACTCTAACACTCTGTCTTCATGAATAATTCATTTTTTTTTAACACAACATGAATAATTAACTTAAAAGTTGAGTTCATTGAAGAAAATATTGTTTCTCTGACATTTTAAACTTATTATTAAATAGAATGTAGAGAAACTTGGAAACAAAAGAAACAAAGATATGCAAGCAATTTTTCAAATTCCTATTTATATGTAGTTGCTTCTCTTTTCATCCTAGATGCTCCAAACTCTTCTGAGATTTGAATTTTTTTTTAATCTACATATTTTCACCAGAAATATTATCACCTCTGTATACGTTTATCAAGAACACAAATAGAGATGATGTACAAAATTAAACTCTATGTGAATTGACAATTTCTTATGTATCTCAACAACATCGTGAATCTATAAGACTACCTAACATCTACACTCATGGGTAATGAAAATATCTAGTATGTAGTGTGCAATTTTTTACATATTAAATTACCTCTTTAGGGGAAGAAGAGTTTTGGAGTGAGCACGAATGTGGCCTTCGAGCTTGTCAAATGTATCGACCAAAGTGTCCATCCGATAATCCTAGAGCTGGATGAGACACCTCTGTGTAAATTGGCGAGATTCCTGGTCTTTTGAGGTGGAAAGTCAGGCCCTCAGCTATGCTACTCCTTTTCTCGAACCATGTCTGCGTTTTAGTTCTCAGTTTCCAAAAACTCTACACAAAAACCAAATCAAGACAAATTGGTCAGTTCATAGGAAATCAAAAAGCGCAGAAGACGAGAAGAAATAATGATTCACCTCACAGTAAATCAGATTAGTTCACTGGAGAAAGCAATTAATAGCATCATTACCATAGAAGAGTTAGCGAGAGCAAGAAAAAAAAACTTATGATATGCAAGAAATCTATGTAACTTTCTACTTCTTATAACTCAAAAAGTCAGGCATAATATTGAGGTTGATAGATGATTGCCTTTATTAACATAAGGAATGCAACACAACAATAATCCAAACAGATTCAGTCTAAGTGAAAAAATATAGTAGCTAACCGGATAAGAAAAAATGACAGAAGAAAAGACATGTCTTTTCAATTCCCATAAAACTTGTGTGTGTGTGTGTATTTTCTACATAGTTCTCATGAATATCCATCTCACCTTCTTGAATATTCTGCTAAAGATCTTTTCCATCAACGGTCCATCCAACAGCGACGAATTGAAGTCAGTCAGCAAGGAGAAGACGCTGGCTGGTCTGCTCCTTGACCTGGCAATCTGCAAAGGGTGAACATGTAAAGACTATATAAAAAAGAAAAGAGGAAACCTAACTACAATATTTTTAATTTAGAAAAAGTTGTGTTTCTCTTACCTGTGAAACACTTCTTTTCCTGCAGCTGTCTCAGAGTCAAAATAGATATGTGTTCCAGAATGACATTCAGATATAACCGGCCTGACAAAAGATATGATATGAGGTTTAGAAAAGAGAATGTCAGTCTAAAACAAAGAGCCTATGACATGAATTTGACGAAGCTACGGGCAAATGCAACAAAAGTCAAAAACAGATATACTCTTCCCCCAACTATCTTTTGGATTTATGCTGGAGATCTAAATAGCTTGTATACTCCTGAATAAAAAGATTATACAATCTAAATGGATGCTATCGTCGATATGATTAATCAGAAACAAAGGTACTTACATTCTCATCAATGAGTAGCATGTTAAGGTTCATAAGCTCACAGCCTTTCTTCACATTCCTGGCTTCCCAAAACCTCACAACCGAACCTTTGAAATGTTGGTGCTTTCAACTCGACAAGGAGGATGGAGGATTGCGCCATTGTTGAGTTGATGAGTAGCATGGATTGTGCTTTCAGATTTGGTAAATAGAATGTTATTCATCGTTATGGTGTGGAGATCGTTCTTCTGCGTCAGTTTACCTCAGGCGGCAGCTTGAAGGGGGATGGAAAGAAGATGAACGATTGACCTAAAAATAATTTGGGCCTTTCAATAATTATCAAAACTGTTCCAGCCCAAGAAAGTAGATTAACAAAACCGAAATAAAAATCGGTTGGGTAACCAATTACATTTATGGATGATTTGGTCTGGTTAATTGCTGAGGTGTCATTTTTTGCCCCCTCCTAAATGCTGATGTGAACACTCTAAGAAGGGAGAAAATCCTATTTTATTGTATAAGATATATATAGATAGATATAGATAGATGTTTTAAGTTTGGGCTTTTAATTTGCAAATTTCCCTTAAATCATGCTAATAAAAATAATACACATTTTCAAAATTAATTATTAATCATGCTAATATATGTAATTAACTTTAGGTTTGATTGTCTCCGAATCTAACATCTAATCTAACCTCTGTTCGAAAACGCGGGTTGGGCGGCCGGAAAATCGCTGGAAAATCGCGTTGCGTCCTAGTGCCGTTGCGATTTGGGCTTACGCGGTCAGTTAATCGGAAAAGTTGAATAAGTTATTATTTTGTAACTTTCAAGTCCGAAATTCAATATTTCTTATTAGATTTGCTATATACCGATCAAAACCTATAAGATTATCAACAAAAAACATGGAAATCAAAAAAAAAAAAGGTGTGGCGGCTTTAGTTGTGACTGAGATTTCACAGATCCAAAAGGTAGGAGATGAGGTTATTTTGGTAATTTGATTTCATTTAACCTAAAACCTAAGTAAATAGACAAAAGAAACTTTCTGGCTCGAACCCATGACCCCGAAGACTAATAAAAATCGCTGAGCCAATACACCTGATGTCATTATTAGCTTACAAGCACAAATCTAATGTATAAATGCAAGAAACATATATTAATGCGATAAAACTACTCCCCGATTAATCTCCGATTAATCTCCGCCTAATTGATTCGGCGCTAGGCGCTGTCCTTCCGCACGCGTAACACCTAGCGTATTTTCGAACATTGAATCTAACACATGCGAAATATTTCTTCCCTTCTTCCATTTTTTTAATGAGGGTCTTATTGTCTAAACTTCTTTGGGCTTTAAGTAATTTTGTATGTGGATATGTAATTGGGTTTTAATCCTAACTTTATTCTTTTCTACGTGAATAGGTTAATGCATAATATTTTTGTTGGGCAACATTTGGGTTGTTTAGTTTATGCGTTTGAATTTGGTGTTTATAATGATAGGCAGAATCAGAAGGATATAGTAAAACTCTAGGACTTCGTGGCATGGTCACATTAGAAAACTGGTGCACTGTGACGTTCACAGCTTTTATGTGATTTGTAGCTTGGCAGCAAACAATTCGAGTTAATTATGTTGGGGAGAAGCGCAGTTTCTTGGAATATGCCTTGAGACAAATGGCCCTCATGTGTTTGATGCTTTCTCAATGATACTTCTGACCGGGACTAAAGTTATTTTGAGCTGGTGAAAGTTAAGCATCTTTGTAGTTTATAGTCTTCATTCCTCAAACACAAAGAGAAGACCCGTGAATGGCACTTAGCTACATAACAAAAAGAGTCTGAAGAGTACATGAAACATAACATCAAAGATTAAGAAATGAAGATAATTCAAGCGAAAGTGATCTTTATCCCACAAAGGTCTAAGCCAAGGAAGAGCCTTTCTTTACAAAGAAGCATACAGGGTCCGGGACTAAGTAACTTCACCAGTTCAGTAGAAAATCAAGATGGTAATAAGCTAAAGGCAGAAACTTGGGAGCTGAGATAGATACATAGAATCTAAAGACTTCTACATGTATTAATTGACGGAGCGGAAGTACCGTTAGTAACCGATAATGCAAAGGTAACGTTGAATTCTGAGAATACCCGTTATCTAAGCCTTCTTAGTTCTGTTGAATTCTTAGAGAATGCCCAGAAGTAAGGATTCAAGAGTTTGTTTAAAACCAAAGCTCTAGATATTATAAATCAATAATCAAAAGTTGTGTCTCTTACAAACCAANGTTGAATTCTTAGAGAATGCCCAGAAGTAAGGATTCAAGAGTTTGTTTAAAACCAAAGCTCTAGATATTATAAATCAATAATCAAAAGTTGTGTCTCTTACAAACCAAGAGATCACAATATATATAGGGACATAAACCCTAAAACCAACAAAGAAAAGGAAAACTTAAACTTGCGTAAAAACTAATAGGAAAAGGAAATAAGAAAACCAAAGCTTAATGAAATAAGGATGTACGCTACATCAGGTCTCCCCCCCTACGGAAGATTCGTCCACGAATCCGGCAAGGGTAACGTCATCAGGCTCGTACTTGAACAAATGCTTAACATTAAACACTTCTGTCGTGTGGATATGAGGTGGCAAAGCAAGACGATATGCATTGGCGTTGATCTTTTCAATAATCTCCAAGGGACCGATCTTTCGTGGTTTCAACTTGTTGTACTTGCCGACTGGAAACCTCTCCTTTATAAGAACAGCCCACACATTATCTCCGACTTCGAAATGCAGCTCACGACGACGTTTATCAGCATTGCGTTTATACTTGATTGCAGTGCCTTGTAAATTATCAAGGGCACGAGTATGTATAGCCGCCAATTCGTCCACAAGCTCTGCAGCTCGTCCATGAAACTCACCAACCTGAGGAAGAGTGGTTAACGCTAGCGGACCACGCGGCACAACCCCATACACCACTTTAAACGGACTGAAACCAAGACTGCGGTTATGGGCATGATTATGGGCGAATTCTGCCTGATATAAAACTGAATCCCAAGACTTCAGGTTATCGCCAACTAAACACCGCAACATGTTCCCTAACGAGCGATTAACAACTTTTGTTTGCCCATCTGTTTGGGGATGATATGCCGAGCTCATCTTCAGACTTGTCTTGAAAAGCTTCCATAATGACCTCCAAAAGTGACTAATGAAACGCGAATCCCGATCAGAAACGATAGATGTTGGAAGACCATGCAATCTATAAACCTCACGAAAGAACAGAAGAGCCACTTGAACGGCATTTGTAGTCTTTTTGCAGGGAATAAAGTGTGCCATTTTAGAAAAACGAGCAACGACGACAAAGATCGAATCATTCCCCCTCTGCGTTCGTGGAAGGCCAAGAATAAAATCCATGCTGATATCGCTCCACGGTTGCGTTGGAATAGGCAAAGGCAAATAAAGACCTTCGTTGCTAGCATGGCCCTTACTTTGCTGACACGTGACACACCTTGCCACAAACCTCTCGACGTCACGCCGCAATGTCGGCCAGAAATACGAATCTGAAACCAGCTTTAATGTTCGATCACGACCAACATGCCCTTCACAGTGTAATTCCCGAACAAGTTGTAATCTGAGACTGCAGTCAGGCACGCACAATCTGTTCTCTTTAAAAACGAACCCGTCTACTAAAGAGAAATCAGAACGCAGACCCTGCGTGAGATCCGACCAAACCGGTGCAAAGAAAGGGTCGGTAGGATACAAGTCTGCAAAAGATTCAAATCCAGGGACTGAGACGCGTAATGTTGAGACCAATGCGTGACGTCTACTTAAGGCATCAGCCACTTTGTTGAGCTTTCCGGACTGGTGTTTGATGACGAATGTAAACTGTTGCAAGTAAGCAGTCCAGGAGGCATGGCGGGCAGAGATTTTGTCCTGAGTGCCGAGATATTTTAACGCCACGTGATCTGTGAATAATATGAACTCCTTGTGTGCGAGATAATGGCGCCAATGCTTAATGGCCTGCACTATCGCGTAAAATTCTATATCGTAGGTGCTGTATCGACTGCGAGCTCCCGCCAACTTCTCACTATAGAACGCCACAGGCTTCCCATGTTGGCTTAAGACAGCGCCAATTCCGATCTTTGAAGCATCACAATGCAGTTCAAAGGGTGAATCAAAATCGGGCAACACGAGTATTGGAGCCGACGTGAGTTTCTTTTTGATGAGTGCGAAGGCCTTGTCGGCTTCCTCTGACCAAGAGAAGGAAACGCCTTTCATACAATCTGTAATAGGTGCCATTATCGAACTGAAATTGTGGATGAAACGCCTGTAAAAGGACGCCAATCCATGAAAACTGCGGACGTCTGAAATTGTCTTAGGCGTGGGCCACGATGCAACAGCGTCGACTTTCTGCGGATCCACTTGCAAACCCGTCGCTGAAACGACATATCCGAGAAATAAGACCTGAGATGCTCCAAACTCGCACTTGTGCTTTGCGACGAACAGCTTTTCTTTTCGTAAAGCCAAGAGGACCTCACGAAGATGATGAAGATGCTCATCGAGTGTGGTACTGAAGATAAGGATGTCGTCAAAATACACCACCACAAAACGACCAATAAAGGGTCGCAGAGCTTGGTTCATGACGCGCATAAATGTGCTCGGTGCGTTAGAGAGACCGAACGGCATAACTAACCACTCGAACAATCCTTCCCTAGTCTTGAATGCTGTCTTCCATTCATCACCAGGCCGAATTCGAATCTGATGGTACCCACTCTTGAGGTCTAATTTGGTGAAGATTGTTGCTTTCCCGATCTGGTCCAAAAGATCATCAAGTCTGGGTATGGGAAATTTGTATCGAGTTGTTATTTTGTTGATGGCGCGGCTGTCAACACACATACGCCAAGAACGGTCTTTTTTGGGGATGAGCAACGACGGGACGGCGCATGGACTTAAACTTTCCCGAACGTAGCCTTTAAGAAGGAGTTCCTCAACTTGCCGGCGTAGTTCGTCATGTTCTTCCGGGCTCATCCGATAATGGGCGCGATTGGGAAGAACTGCATTGGGCACGAGGTCAATATGATGTTGAATGTCACGGATTGGTGGTAGCCCTGCAGGAAGATCGTCTGGAAACAGATCGTCAAACTCCCGTATGATAGGAATGAACGCAGGTGGGCAGTCCGTGTGCTGCGACGGTGGCGGGGTAACTGCTACCAAAGCAAAGAAGGGACTGGAGTTGCGAAGTTCCTGCTCAAATTGTGATCTTGAAATAATCAACAAATTTTGTTTTGGTGGTTGCTTGTTGTTACAGGGTGGTGAGAGTTCCGATTCTGGGGTAGGAAGCAGAGTGATCTTGCGTCCTTCGAACATGAAATAATGGGTGTTGGTTTTGCCGTTGTGAAGAACTTCTCTATCGTATTGCCACGGCCTTCCTAATATTATATGTGACACGTCCATTGGCGCGATGTCACAATACAACGTATCTTTGTAGAAGGACCCAATAGAGAGTGTTAACAATGTCCGCTGCGAAACAAAGACTTCGGCACCGGTTTGCATCCATAATAGACGGTACGGGTGTGGATGAGCTTCAGATGTAAGTGCGAGTTTTCGAACGGCTTCTTCGGAAACGACGTTCGCTGAGCAACCCGAGTCAACTACAAAGCGGCAAACTTTCCCTTTGACCGTACAAGTTGATGTGAAAAGTGCAGTGCGTTGCCAAGCTTCAGATGTTTTAGGCGTGAGACAGTTGCGACGGAGCATAAGCAACGTTCCCGTGTCACCACTAACCTGTTCTTCATCGATGTCCTCTACTTGGTCATCAGCAAACTCATCATAAATAGGATCTCCAGCGAGTTCTCTGTCGTTAGCGAGTAAACCTCGACGTCCATGTGTGGGACACGCTGTTTGTAAATGACCTCTTTCACCACAAGAAAAACATCTGAGTGCGTTAGGCCTAGAGGGGTGTGCGTCTGCAGCTGCTGTTTCTGTTGGCCGAGCGTTGCTCTTCTGGCTTGAAGTTGCGTCCCGTGCAGTCGAAGATCTGGTATCATCTGAGCTGGCTGGTGTAGAACGTTGTCGCGTGTTGTTGGACCATTGATTTGTACTAAGTCGATTTTGTTGCTCGACCAATAAAGCTCTCTGACGTGCTTCGGAGACTGAGCATGGATCAAACTGATGGAGCATATTCTGCAATTGTGGGCGTAGACCTGCGATAAAACGAGCCACCAACTGATCCTCTGAATCTTGTAAATCGATGCGAGTGAGCATCAAATAGAATTCGTTCGCATATTCCTCAACAGAGCGTGTACCCTGTCGTATATTATGAAACTTTTGGAACAATAGACACTCAAAATTATACGGAATAAAGTTTTTCCGCATATGCTTTTTGAGCTTATCCCATGAAGTGATTTTTTCTTGACCCCTACGAGTACGAGAAAGCTTCAATTGATTCCACCAAGAGGCGGCATGACCACGAAATCGTGTAGCAATAAGAGAAACTTGTCTGTTGTCCGGAACGTCTTTGAATTCTAAGAACTCATCCACCGTTACGAACCAATCAAGTAGGTCTTCTGGTTGTGATCCACCATGAAACTCGGGAATTTCTATCTTAATACCCGAAGTCCAACGTGTGTTGTCGTTGTTGCGGGGTTGTTGCAGTTGCTGTTGCTGATTGTTAATGTTGCCTCCAAACGGATTATCTCCATCGAAGTCGTCGTTAACTTCTTCAAAGGCAGGATTCTGGTGTCGGTGACGTGCGGCGTGCACTGGTTGCGCTGCTTGAGCGTTTGCAGTTAACGCGGCCTGAACTCCGGCTTGAACCCCTGTCTGAATTGACTCGGCCAAGGTGCGGCGGAGTTCGTCATGAAAGTTCTCTTGGAAATCCTCCAAGAATTGTTGAAAGTGTGTCCAATCGTTAGCTGGTTCTTTGCCTGGTAGTGGGGCCATCGTAAGATCGAAAACAACGATAAGAATCGAAGTTCTAAGTCTCTGATACCAATTGACGGAGCGGAAGTACCGTTAGTAACCGATAATGCAAAGGTAACGTTGAATTCTGAGAATACCCGTTATCTAAGCCTTCTTAGTTCTGTTGAATTCTTAGAGAATGCCCAGAAGTAAGGATTCAAGAGTTTGTTTAAAACCAAAGCTCTAGATATTATAAATCAATAATCAAAAGTTGTGTCTCTTACAAACCAANGTTGAATTCTTAGAGAATGCCCAGAAGTAAGGATTCAAGAGTTTGTTTAAAACCAAAGCTCTAGATATTATAAATCAATAATCAAAAGTTGTGTCTCTTACAAACCAAGAGATCACAATATATATAGGGACATAAACCCTAAAACCAACAAAGAAAAGGAAAACTTAAACTTGCGTAAAAACTAATAGGAAAAGGAAATTTTAAAACCAAAGCTTAATGAAATAAGGATGTACGCTACATCATTAATGATCTGCATACATTTACATTTTCTCTGTTTGCTCGTTTGATTCTTCATATATATATAAGTGACAAACCGACAAAAAAAACTTGAATCTTTGACATGTATGAGCTTTTGATATGTTACAGAAACTCATGAATTGTCTTACAATTGAAGATTGCGATCACTTAAACCATAAACCCTGAAAAAACCCTTCACATCAAAATCTAAAATTACAGCTAGAATCAGCACCAAATAAAAAAAAAAGGAAGAATCAGCGATTAATCTACTCAAAATCTATGCCTGAAAACTTATTGAGTGTTGTGAGTAGTGAAAGGATGGTGTTTACGGGGTGAATGCATAACTTTTTATAGCAAGAGATCGACCAACTAAAAGAGATGAGGGATGAACTGAATGAGGAATCAATATAGGAGTGGGGGAGAAGGAGTTAATTCGTTAATGATAAGGATTGAATGCATACCGTAACAGTTCCGGTTTCCCTTCGCCTGCGAGAAGAGATCCAGACGAAACGACACTAAAGGCCAATTCGCGAAGAATATTCGTCTCCCATAAGGATCACGTGACTCCATGGACGGTTCAGGAAAACAGATGCTGAAGAACACCAAGAACTATAGAAACCTAAGGCGCCAATTTCTACAGACGAAGAAGATGACTATCGGTATGTTGGATCAGTCTACAAAACCTATCTTCCCAAGCCCAAGAAATATAATGTGGGAGTCCATATCTACGAAGAAACCAAAAGCAACGAAACTCTTTTAGAAACGGACACGTATCATCTCATCCATTCACTATTTAATGACGTGGCATTTCCAGAATGGAGGAAACCGTATTTAATATATATAGAGATGATAGATGACTGGTGAAAATTTTTTTTTTAGATTTTATGGATTATAATGTCAAAGGAAGACTTTCCAGTAAAGTCTTTCAGATGAGAAGACTTCATATTTGATATTTTGTGAATTGTACTAAATCTTCTTGAAATTTTTTTTTAAGTGTGTTGTATCAAAACAAAGAATGTCTTCAGATCAGTTAATTAACGTTATCGAACACGTTATTCCATGAAAGAGATAAAGCTCTCTAACATTGAGAAGTAGAAACGAAAACGTTTCAGCCATCGATGGTTTTTTTTGGATCAAATCACAATTTTATAGATAGATTAACTTCAAAGTCCAACTAGGAAGGAAGCATTACACATGAATAGGCTGGACTAGCCAGAAAGTCTGCCACATAGATGCTAATCAAAAAACAATACGAAATGAAATTACAATATAGAGAGATAAGAGAAATCTAATGTCTGATAACATGCTTTGAACTTCATTGTTTCCTTGTCTTGTGAATCCTAAGTAGTTAAGTGGCACCACAAATCGTGAGTTAGAGAACCACATCACTTTTTATTTCATCTTGCCACTCAGTTCCCACACCTAAAAAAAATTCATACAAACATAAATTAATAGTGTTAAAAAAACATAAATTAAGAAGTCTCTCAATTTTTTTTAAAAAATCTTCTAGTGTATTATATGTTAGAAGACTTCTTGGAAAATCTTTCAAACACTAAATCAAATAACTAATTAGACAGTAATCACTTGTCACCTTATAAAATGTTTAATATACACAAAACTATACGAAACAACCAAATTAGTACTGGGGTTGGTGCATTTTAAAAACCTCGGATGTCGCCAGCCCGCATTTGAAGATCTTCAGCCACTTTCTTAGTGGTCTCGATGGTGAACCGGCGAAAGTAGGAAGACAGGAGTGGCAGATCCAAAGGAAAAGACGTCCTATAACTCTGCTGCACTTTAACCTTGGACGCAATCAATCCTTTTCCACCACTACACTTTCTGTATTCTTCTAGACTCTTCGGCTTCCTGCGCTTGCACAAGTGTTCTGCATCAAAATACACTGGCTCCACTGTATATCTACCCTCGAACGTGTCTAAGAAGTTCATCGCAGTTTTATCTTTCTGGTAAGATACCTGCCAACAATAAGCAGGAGAAACCCTAATTAAAATTTCCAAGACTTGAACAAAAACATTGGTTCTCATGAGATATATAGAGAGAGACGTAGACGTTTCTTACAGAAAGTTTGTTTGGGTCTTCTTGGACCGTTAGACGTATTGGGATAGTCCCTGACAGGAAAAGGAATTTCCATGCCAACTCTTTCTCAACCACCACGTCCAGCTCACCTTTATCCTTCTCTGATGTAACTGTTCTTGATACGGCTTTCTTCATAAGAAAAGACAAAACCTCACTCTCTAAAGTATTGCTTTTCTTCTATTATTTTTGTTAAATCTCTTAAATATATATCCATTTGAATTATATAATGATGATAAGTTAAAAGAAATAAACCAGAAGTGCGCGGCCTTTGATTTCCCTGGAGAATGATATGTTGTCTTGATTAGCTAAAATGTCGTAAGCTGCTTGAGGTGGCATTCCCATCGTAAACTCCATTTGCATATCGGTAAGGCCATCTAACTTATAGTCTGTTTTCACCTTCAAACATAAGAAAAATATAAAAGAAATTACGGGTCTTTATTTTTAGGTTTATAAATAGAGCAATAGAGGAAGATGTTTTGAAATAGATCTTACCTTTATCGTAGGAGGAGGTTCCTGATATTGTCCCCTCTTCTTATTTGCTTCTCTCCATAGTTTAATTTGCTCCTTCATCTCAATATCTCTCTCCTCGTGAATTTTCGTCTCTCTCACTGGCTTGGATTTAACATCTTCTGATTTTTTAGGCTGTTGACTGATCCAGCCACCAAATCCAGGAAATATACCCATTTACTCTCTGGAAATTTAGCACCCAAAGAGATATGACTATCCAAAGAGTGTCTGCGAGGTAGATATATATGGTTTCAGAGACCTTAGAAAAAAAATATAAATTTAGAATTTGACAAACACATATATAAAATCTGAAAGAATAGAGAAGGTGGAGTGCACCTTTTTTTTACCGGAGAAAAAAGAAAGAAACATATCAAGGCAGCTAATATCTCGTGACTTCTTTCTTGACGTACAAGCGAGAGTTACAAGAATGCTGAAGAAATGTTTCGATTAGAAAAGAGAAAAAAATATTGAAGAATGCTTCTGCTGCACCTGCCTGAAATTCGAGCATCTTTATCTAATGGGCCTATAAACCATTTTTTTATTATAAAAGCCTTTTAGATGTATTTACTATAGCGTATAGTCAAAAGACTATGTTTAGAGGGTGTTATTGGTTTGTATATTTTAGTGGATTTGAAAATATAAATCAAATATAATGTTATTGGTTCTATGATTTTAAAATCCCTATTCAAATTCATTGTTATTGGTTCTATGATTTTAAAATCTATATTCAAATTCATTGTTATTGGTTCTATGATTTTAAAATAGATTTTAAAATCAGGCGTTATTCAATAATAATGATTTGCTTGAGGATTTGATTTTAAAATAGATTTGAGTGGATTNTTATTGGTTCTATGATTTTAAAATCTATATTCAAATTCATTGTTATTGGTTCTATGATTTTAAAATAGATTTTAAAATCAGGCGTTATTCAATAATAATGATTTGCTTGAGGATTTGATTTTAAAATAGATTTGAGTGGATTTGTGAGTTAAAAATACAAAGAAGCAAATATTGAGTTGAACCTTGTTATTTTGATAGTATATTATTGATTTTCTTAATAATTGTTTTCTTGCCCCAGGTTTTACGTACATATCATCCATGTTTCTTTAATAATAAGCAAATACTAATATATTAACCAACCATCTCTAACTTAGCTTTACGTACACGTAAACGTTAATATAAAAATTTACCAAAGATCTCTCATAAGAGTTTTGGTCTACAAATGTTTTCTGGAGATTCTACTCCATAAATGACAAAGAGTTGTTTACCATCATTATGTTTTTCTGAGAAATGTTAAGAATTTTTGATATATTCAAATCTCGATTTTTAATTTATAATGTGCATCCTCTTTTGCTTATAAGACATAAACGGAGAGAATATTCATGTGTTAGTTTACGTGTAGTCTTTTTAAAAAGTTCTGACGAATCTATAATTTTTCTGAATAAAAAAATTTTGATGAAGAAGAAGATCTTGAGGAAATTACTGGAACTGAAAATCAACAAACAGGATATGCCAATCAAGTGAGAACGACAATAATAACAAGTATGTGAGAGATTTTATGTTATCATAATAACATAAGATATAGAAAATAATAAACCATATGTTCTAGTGTTATATATATTTTCTTTTGTTACAAAGCTGCGTTTATCACAAATCCATTTCGTTGATTTCTAATAATTCAATTATATTGATTTTGAAATCTATTTCATTGATTCTAAAATCTACGTATTTGATTCTAAAATGTGTGGATTTGTCAAAATTTTCAAAATCCAAAAAGGATTTCTAAATCTATAAAATCCTAAAACCAATAACCCCCACTAATAGGCTTTTATTTTGCAAATTTCCCTTAAAATGGTGCTAAAGTAATATACATTTTATAATGAATTGTTAACGATAGCATTATTCTTTTTGCCTTTTGGTAAAATATACAACTATATTGAGATGAATAAAGTGATTTTAAAGATTCGACTCGAATTTCTAAGGAATTATAATGAACGTCCCTTAAATAAACTCCTCAATTATAACATACAGTACTGTAATAATTCCTCAGCCAAAAGTCCACCGTAAAATCAAAACGCATCATTTGAAGATGAAAACATGTAGTATTTCTGTAGCTTATTCATAGGAATTCTTCAAATCGAATAAAAACCTATAAATTGTACGGCATTTGTCAAAATTTCTATTTTCACAGTTCAGTTACACATACACATACACAGTAAAATTTGAAAATATTGTTTGTAAAATAGTGAATTCACAGAAGTAATATATACGAGTCAATGAGTACTGCTTAAGCCATTTCCATAAATCTTTGGGGAAACTGTTTTTTTAGACCAAATAGCTTTGGATATTGTCCCTTTAGGCTAAATTATATTTTGTACCAATTTTGACTTTAATGCCCTTTATGTATTTTCGAAATTATTAAAAAAAAATAGATTTATGAAGCAATTTTTTTTTAAAAAATAGTACATAATGATGAAATCTCTATATCTATATAGTGATATTTTTTTCTNAAGACAAGTAGAAGTCAGAATCTAAATTCGCACAACGTTCTAATACACGTAGAAACTGATTTCATATCTTTTTACACAGTTCTACGTTTAGTAGAATCTGAATTCTACGGATAAATATTATTAGATCCGAAAATATAGCAAGAATATCTTAGAGAATATTCTATTACCATATTTAAAACTCCATTTTTTTTAAAAAAAAAAAAAAGGAAAATTCGATTTTTTTTTTTAAAAAAAAAGGAAAATTCGATTTTTTTTAAAAAAAAAAGGAAAATTAGATTTTTTTTAAAAAAGAGGAAAATTCGATTTAAAAAAAAAAAAAAGAAAATTCAAAAGCAAAAACGTTTTATTAAAAGGAAAATCTTTGGAAAATATTCTCACGGTTATTGTCACGTTCTTCTCACGCCTCTTCTCCATTCTCCCCAATATTTTCACAGTCTTTACCTTGTTTCTACCATGATTCATGTCTTTGCTTCATGTGGTGTTTGGGAATCGGTTGTAACTTCAGGTTAGAGGTTTTCTGTTGATGAAAAGATAGGGGGAAGATTTCTATAAAACAATTACTTCTTTGCAATTGAAGTCATCTCTGGAAGAATTAGCACATGACCGGAGATTAGCCTGTAATTTGGTTCGATTAGCCTGAAGGATCTATCCAACAAAAGTTATCACAAAAGATTTCTATAAAACAATTAGTGTTGGTTTTCCAGCTAAATTTCTCTTATCATTTTCAATTTAAATTTTGATCATTTTATGCAAAACAAATAGGAGGCAAAGAAAACTTCAATAAAATGGGTCTTGTAAGAGCCGAGCTTACATAACAGCAAAACTTGATCATGTTCCAAACAAACCTCTAGAGCTGTCTGCTAAAAATTTAAAACCAAGATAAAACAGCATTGAGAAATTCGAGACTGGAAATGCTCCTTTAAACTTAGTTAGATTCAATGTGCTTCCTGATGATATTGAGTGCATTCACCAAGGGTCTTGGCACTTGGAACAGTAAGCAAGTTGATGCTGTGATCAGCGCATAGAGCCTTAACAAGCTTAACGAAATCAGGTTGGTTGCAGTCTTCAGCCAATACACAAAGCTGAGCCACACGCTTCTCAATAAGCTTAGCGGTCTCATGGAGACCACGAACAACACCACCGTGAGCACGAGCTTTCCTAAGAGTCAACTCCAATGCGGTCAACAAGTCCATGTCCTCTGGGATAACCGCTGCTGGCTCAGCAACGGGAGGAACAACAACTGGAGCAGCAGCTTCGTCACAAAAATAGAAAGGATCAACACAATCAAAATCATTCATATCATACCATAACCTTTAACCTTACATTATCATCAAAAAGAATGTAAGGCTCCATTGTATATCATTCAAACTAAATAAACCAAAGATTCCATTGATTAAAACAGTTAAAATGAGTCGCACTAATAATCACAGAGGCTGCCTAGTCATTACTGATTCCGTAGAATTAAACAATGCAACATAAACAACGCAAGAGAAGCTTACCCCGACATGTTTTCTCTATAAAATGTCTTTAACGACTAGAAAATAAACAAAAGTCCTTGTTATCTGCCAATTTAAACCAAAAGCACACTCAGTCTCAGACAATCAAATGAAACAAAACACAATGAAGGAAACTTGAACGGACCAGTCTTGGCCTATTGTTTAGCAAACCAACACTAATTGTTTTATAGAAATCCTTTATGATAACTCCGTTGATTTGTACAAGTGCTAAAAACGTAACAACAAAAATTTCAACTAAAACCTCTACAATACTTCTTCTAAACAACAGGAACCTTTTACTTTATTCATCCAATCCTCTAGAAACAGTAACCCAAACGTAGCTCACGACAAACAATGAGAAATAATTGAAGGCCGGTCGTTTACCTTTACACCGTCGAAGGTGAGTAGAAGAAGAGAGCAGTTGTTAGAGGAAGGCTCTGAATCGAAACCGAGAGAGGAAACTCGAGAGGCGGAGGAGACGAAACTTTTCCTGGAGATCTTCGAAACAGAGAGAGAGGAAGGGGAAGAATCGAAACCGAGAGAGAAAGGGGGAGAGTGGCGGAGGAGACACAGTTTTGTCGTAACCGGAGAGAAGGGGAGAGTGGCGGAGACGGGGGCATCTGTAATTAGGTTTAGAAAGGGGCCAATTTTTTTTTTTAATCTTTTTAAAATTATATTATATTTAATTATTAAAAAAAATTTGTTATAATTATAATTAATCTAATTACGAATTAATAATTAAAACAATATAATTTAAGGNAAATTATATTATATTTAATTATTAAAAAAAATTTGTTATAATTATAATTAATCTAATTACGAATTAATAATTAAAACAATATAATTTAAGGGTAGTATTGTCATTTAGAAAATATTTAGCTTAAAGGGACAATAAATGAATGAATTTAACCTAAGGGGACAATGTCCAAACCTAATTGACTTAAAAAAACTATTTTCTCTAAATCTTTTGATGCTTCTTGGAAAAGATGGAAGTGTATCCCACTTTGATTTTCTCACAAATAAAACATGTTTTTTTTTCTTAAGTACATCTCTCCTTCCACTTACATATCAAAAAGAATCTATGTAGTTGTCTCTCTTTATGAAAAGAAAAGGAAGAAAAACAACAAAGATCAATATTCTCTCAATTTAGAACTTTGGTTTCATACCCAGTAGTCTTATTCCTTTCATTACCTGTCATTTTTGTATGATACATTAATTAGTAACTTTATTTAAACCACGAAATGCTTCTATTAATTCATTACCCCTCTTCTCACATGGAATGAAGCATATTCACATTTCTTGTTCCACATGTACCTTCACAATAACCCTCTTTGATCTCTACTCTCCAAAGTAAACTTCCCATCATCGTATACCACTTCTTGATTTGTTACTACGAACCAAATATAAACCAAACCCTAAGAGAGAAAATGGGAGACCAAGGTGCACAACAAATGCAACAGCCTGTTGTTGTGTATCCAAACGCATACACTACAGAAAATGCATATCCATCTACTTCCTCTTCACCAGCTTCTTATACCTCTGTCTCAAGCGGTTCCTTTGGGACGGTCTTCATAGTCGTAGCCGTGATCCTTGTCTTGTCGGTTGTGGCCTGTATCTTCGGGAGGCTATGCAGCCGCAAAATCCGCGGGAGCAAGCAACAGCATAGCAAGCAGCCAAGGCGCGAGAAAGAGTCATCTACAAAGAGCCATGAGATTCGACCAGTGGAGTTTGAGCCGAGGGAGAGAGGTGATTTGGAGTTTGGGGTGGATATGAAACATCATAGGGAAATTGAGAAACCCTATGGAAGAGAGTTTGAGCCGAGGGAGAGAGGTGATTTGGAGTTTGGTGTGGATATGAAACATCATAGGGAAACTGAGAAACCTTATGGAAAAGATTACGAAGATGAAATAGAATTCGGATTAGATAACAAGAGAGGAGAAAGGGGCGGAGGAGGTCCACCTCAACATGGAGTGAGGTTCAAGTTACCTGAAAATGAAGACGGTCTTCATGGTAAAAGTGAAATCAGGCATGGAGGTCCAGACTTCGAGTTTCGACCAGGACACTAATGATACTGAGGTTTCTAAGAACAAAAAACATTATGTTTATTTCTCAAAAAAAAAAAAAACTTTATGTTTATGTTTTATTTGTTGCCTTTCTGTTATTTGTTTCATTTGTGCTTTTTCTTGGGTATGTAACTTAGAGCTGAAAGGTGAAGCTATAAAAAGTCTTAAGTCTCTTGGTGTGATTGTGTGAAGTATACACCAGATACTCTCTATATATAGGTACTAATAAATCCATTATTATGTAAATTTTCAAAATAAGATAATTTTGAAAGTATCAACAAAGTTATGGAGGAAAGGTTTTTTAACAGAATACAGAGTGTTCTTCACTATTCCTCCTCACTCTTCACAACTTTTCTTGGCTCAATTTTTTTTTTCTGTGGGCATTTAGCTATTATTAGAGAACAAAAAGCTAAAGGGACCTACCGAGAAATTCATCTCATCTTTTTTTTTTTTTTTGTAAACTGCTTTCTTAATATTAAATAAAAGACCAAAGATTTGACAAAAGTCATAGACTCTAGTTTTTAAGACCCAGAAACACACATCAAACAAGTTGAGCCCAACACCCTTTTTTAGTGGCCCAAGTGGATAGCCCAAGAATGATAGAATAGGAAGCGTTACGTGAACCGCTTCGGGGAGATCGTCATCTAGTTAATCATGATCCAGCTCTGCATCATTGTCGAAGAACGAGTGGGATTAGAGAACCGAAAGGATTGGAGTTTGTTTCTGAGTTGTCTATCAAGAAGTCTGAAGATTTGGTCCGGCGATCTGAAGGTCTGAGAATGGATTCGAGAATTCCTTTCACCCCATAGCCAATACATGGTTGATTGCCAAGCCAAGAGGATGAGAAGTTTTTGCGAAGTTGGTGGAGGAAGAGAGATCATTTGAGCTACAGTGTCTTCCCAGTCTCGATGAGGTAAGATAAGCAACCTTCTAGTAACTTTTACCCACAAGTCATAACTGAAGTTACATGAGAAGAACAGGTGATCTCGGGTTTCCTGATGGCCATTACAGAGCATACATCGGTCATCAACTTGGAGTCCCCAATGGAGAAGCCTGTCTCGAGTCGGGTTTCTGTTCTGAATCACCAGCCAAGTATGAAAGCTGTGTCGGGGGATAGCTCTGGAAATCCATACCACAGAGTGCCAGGGGACATCAGGTTTCTCCTCAGAAAGGTAATCATATAAAGTTCCTGTTTTGAAGGTTGAGTAAACCCGCCCATTAATCTCCCACTCATAAAAGTCTTGATCTCTGGTTAGTTCAATGGTTGTTATGTAGGTGTATAGGCGTATTTGAGCCTCAGAGCGAGCAGGTAGAAGGCGCCAAATACCATCCCTACACAATGAGGAGACCGTTGCTTGTTGAGGTATTCCCATTCTTGAGTTAGAGCCATTGAGATAAGTTTTTAGATCACCAAAAGGAGACCAGTTATCAGACCAAAATCTTGCTGTTTCCCCGTTCTGCAGCCTGAGTTTGATTAATGGGAAAGCAACTTGCTTTAGTTTCAAGAGCTTATTAACCAACCAGGAATAGGATTGTCTCGGTGGCGTGACCCAATAGTTGTGGACTGATCCTTGAAGTATCACTTCTTTGAACCATTGAACCCAAACAGAATCTGGTCGGAAAAACAGGAGCCAAAGTAGCCGCAGCGTACAAGCCTTATTCCATGTCTTTAGATCTTTCACTCCCAACCCTCCTTGTCTTTTCTCTAAAATTACTGTCTCCCATGAGATTCTTGCAGAGTGGTGACCTTCTAGGCTCCCTTTCCATAGAAACATGCTGCATAGAGAGTTGATGCGAGTGATACAAGCTTTTGGCAAAATAAAAGCCGAGCACCAGAAGGTTGTAATCCCAGCTATTACAGTTTTTATTAGCAGTAACCTTCCTGAAAAGACAATGTTTTCACTGACCAGGAGGAGAACCGAGATTTGACTTGGTGGATGAGTGGCTCACAGTTCGTGAGGGACAACTTCCTGGAGTTCAAGGGGACGCCTAAATAGCGGAAAGGAAGGGATCCTTGTGCCATTCCCGTTGAAGCTTTGATGAGGTCAGTTTCTTCTTCTGTTAACCCGGATGCATAAAAACTGGTCTTTTGCATACTGACAGCCAAACCCGATCTTAACTCAAATTCCTTTAACACTTGCAGCACATGTTGCACAGATCCAATAGAGCCATCAATGAAAATTAGGAGGTCATCAGCAAAAGAAAGGTGAGTGAGTTTAGTAGCAGCACAGTTGGTATGGTAGTTGAAATGATGTTGTCTTGCTGCCTTGTTGAGCATATGAGAGAGACAATTCATTGCTATTACAAATAAGTAGGGTGATAGAGGATCTCCCTGCCTTAGCCCTCTCTTCCCTTTAAAGAATCCATGAACTGAACCATTGTATCCTACCATATAACTTGATGTACAGACACACGCTTTTAACTGCCTGATGAAGCGAGTGGGAAGCTGAAGTCCTTGAAGACAGGAAAAGAGAAACTCCCAAGCAAGAGTGTCAAATGCCTTTGCGATATCCACCTTGATGGTAATTCTTTTTGGTCCCTTATTTTTGTGATAACCATTTATGAGCTCTCCTGCTAACGTAGTATTCTCCACTAGCAATCTCCCTTTTACAAACGCAGTTTGACACGGTAAGATCAGTGATGGAAGGATAGGCTTCAGCCTCTTGACAAGAAGTCGTGAAATCACCTTGTAGATTGTATTAAGACAAGATATAGGCCTGAAGTCACTGATCTTACTTGCACCAGAGAATTTTGGAACTAATGCAAGTATTGTTGCATTTGTTGTAGATGGAAGGAAATTGGTGGCAAAGAAGTTCCGCACTGCTGAAACAATTTCCACTCCAGTTGTACTCCATGACGCCTTGAAAAAAGCAGAAGTTAGTCCATCCGGGCCGGGGGCCTTATTTGGATTGAGCTTGAAGAAGACTGTTTTAATCTCCTCGGCAGATGGGATGGACAACATTAGGTCATTGTGGTTTTGTGGAAAATGGTACTCTGTGAGATCGTGGAACCATTCAGGAAGCGTTAACAGTGTCGGAGGTTGATAGTTTGACGGTCCCAGAACAGACATGAAATGGTTGACTGCGTGCAAGCTCATCTCTAGGGGGTCAAGAATCCAGGAGCCATCATTCGCCAAAAAGGCTCTAATGGCGTTGTAGCTAGCTCTTGTTTGGCAAATCCGAATAAAGTATGTGGTATTGAGATCTCCTTCACGAAGCCAATTAATCCTTGATTTCTGTCTGAAGAAAAGCTCCTCTATTTCTCTTAGAAAATTCCATTTCTGGTGTAGGTCACGTTCAGCCTGAAACGTTTCTGGACTGGGGTCTTGAAGAGCTTGCACCTGCGCATTTTGCAACAAAAAGTTAGTTTCATTCACTCTCTCCTGAATTTTTGTGTAATTTTCTTTATTAAGAAGCTTTAGATCTCTCTTAATCTGTTTTAGTTTCCAGCATAATTGCGCGAGCGTTTGACATACGTCTCCAGCCTGAATCCATGCATCATGAAGAAGCTGAGTGAACCCCGGGTGTTTGGTTAGGTAGTTTTGAAACTTATAAGGTTGGGTACCAGCTGAAGGGAGGGAGAAAGCCAGGTCAAGGACACAAGGGGTATGGTCAGAGAACAGGGGAGGGAGAAAGGAGGCCAGGGCGTGAGGGAAATTAGCCACTAAAGAACTATTGACCAGTAGTCTATCCAGCTTCTTTGATATTGGGGAGGAAGGTCGGCTGTTAGTCCAGGAATGGCTTGGACCAATGAAGCGAAGGTCAAAGAGGCCGACATGAGCTAGGCAATCTCGAAGTTGGAACATGAGATAATCAAGAACATTAACCTCAGGAGCAGAGTGCTCCATTGGGTGAATAATCTGATTGAGATCGCCCCCCAGAATCCAGCAAGTGCTATCGGAGGTTATAGTAGAATGGATGTTAACTAGCTCAGTCCATAAGTCCACTCGTTCCGAACCAAGATTAGAAGCATAGACAGCTGAGTAGTAGACAGGCACTTGATTCGGAAAACAAAGTTTACAGGTGATACATTGACGGCTCTGTGAGATGATTTGAACATTTAGGGAGTCTCTCCAAATTAGGATAATGCGACCATCTGGATCAGATAAGTGGTTTGAAAAATATTTCCAGTTTGGGCACAAGGTAGAAAGGGTTGAGTTTAGAAAAGGTTGTTTGATGTGTGTTTCAAGAAGGGCTCCAAAAAGTGGCTTGTTAGAGTTAAGCCAAGAGATAAAAGGTCTATGCTTAGCCGGGTCATTAATACCGCGGACATTCCAAAAAAAAAGTTTAACACTCATTGAGAGATTAAGGAAGGAACCTCCAAAGGATTTGAAGGCTCACTCGGGACAAAAGAAACTAAGTTGGATAGGGAAAGTTTATTAGACAAAGGGGAAGGGTTCGTTTCAGGGGGTTTTGAGGAGAGAGGATCAAAAAGGGAAAGAGATTGCGAAAAGGGGTTTGAATTTGCTGACAGGGGAGGGGAGAGAGTTGGGGAAGAACGTGATCGCTTTAAAGAGGGTCGAAGGGGTGGTTCAGGTGTTAGAAAAGGGTTGGAATTCAACGATACAAGCGTGGTGGTTGAGGGTTTGGTGGGGATAGTACGGGTTAAAGAGAGACACTGGCGATTAGGCGGGAGTAAAGGGGGGACCAAAGCTTGATCAGGTAGAGACTTCGAAATTGGGTCTAAAAGGGGGGGGTTCAAGGTAGGGATCGGGAGGGCAGATGATGGAGCATCAGTTTGTTTAGGCTGAGACTGTGGAATAACAGGGCGGTACTTCTTAGCTTTATGTGGTGTCTCCTTCTGAGATTCTTTGCTTTTCGCAGCAGTATCAGTATTTTCCGAGGGAGGAGAGTAGGAGAGGCAGTTACGCATTATGTGACCAAGTTCTTTGCAATGAGAACAAGTTGCTGGGACCCAAGGGTATTGAACAGCAACCTCAACCACTTCACCACTTTGTCTTTCAAATTCCACAACCGGAGGGAGGGGCTTAGTGAGATCAACCTCAACCTTAACATGAGATAGCGACATACTAATAAGGTTTTTGGTAAAGTCATCAGTCTCTTTGGGCTCTCCAATTAGCCCTGCAACTAAACTCAACCCTTCTTCATGTCGCAGGTCTAGAGGGACACCGGTGAGATGCGCCCATATCTGAATGGCTTTCAATGGCGGCGTTGACTTTGAATGTTCCGAGGACCATTGGGCAGTATGAAACATCGAGTCACCAACATGCCAAATACACTTCTCCAAGATCTTCTGCCTAAGGTAATCACTTGGGATCCTAACCAAGGTAGAGCGATTCAAAGGGTTATTGTGAATCTCCAATCGTTTACCTTTGCCCCATAGATGATTAAATACACTTTGTATCTGGTTGAATGGAGGAGGTTTTCCATTGAAGTAGCAAATTATGAAATCTTTATGTAACTCTGCTCCTTTTTGAAAAACAGAGTCAGGAATGAGAACTCTCGGTCTTCCAGAGGGCGCTATGGTAACAGGCGCACGTCTTCGTAAGGTTTTATCCTCAGAAATACGTATCCTTTCAACCAAGGTTTGGGAAGAAGAGACAGTATGAGCAGGGGGGACAAGGGGATTAGGGTTTGCTTGGGCTTGAGAAGGTAGTGAAGGATTAATTTTTGTGTTGGTAGTTGGATTTTGTAAGGGTTGGTTAATAGGTGGGGCTGAGGGAGAAGAGGCCGGATTAGTTAGGAGTGGGGATGATGATTTTGGGGGAAGGATTTTGAAAGTTTCTGACGGATTTGTTTCAATTTCTGGATTTGGGACAGTAGTTGTTGAGTCTCCTGTTTTGGAGACAGTTACCAGAGGATGGATTTTTTCATTAACCGGAGGTAGAGAAGCTCCAGTAGACACAGCTGAAGCCATTGAGGCTATTGTAGTTTGTGAAACACTCTCCATCTTATTAGAGGAAAGTGTAGTTTTAGATCTGGGAGTTTTAGGAAAAGTTTTAGCATCGGATAAGGTTGGAAAGTTATTGGGGGAAAGAGGGGATTTCTGGTTAGGAGGGTCGGGGGGTTTCAATGGAGGGTCAGGGGGTTCACCAGCAGCTGCAGACGGAGGATTCATGCCGGAGAAGCGGCCAGGGACTCTCCACACGTTCTGCATCGAAAGATGTGCCAGAGAGGTTTTGGCTATATTAATTAGAGTTAAAATTATGATTAAAATTCATCTCATCTTAATATATGAAAAGAATAGCTTTACACAGAGGTCAAGAAAAGAAGCAGATGTATGTATTTACTTTCACCTATTGTATATTTATATGATCAGAATTGTCGATTATTGAAAGGTCGAGTCTCGGATTCATTCCCTGAGAAATCAGAGGAGCTTTTGCCAGAGTAACCACCACTGTTCATCCCTGACTCTGTGCTATCATCTATACCAAACGCCATTTTCCTGAACTTCATGATTTCTTCGTTGTATTGCCCTGAGTCATAAGCTGTGCTTTGCCCAACTTTGATCCCGTTGCTAATATCTCCCGAGTCCTCGTCGCAGTCCAATGCTCTCACAACCTTATTACACCAAAAATATGAGTTTTCAGACATGTTAAAACTAAAATCAAGAATTTATGGAGCATAACATTTTTTGAACTTTTGTTAGTCTGAAATTAACCTGAGCCATGCGAGGACGTTTTGGACCAGAATGTCTAACACATGCAGCTGCTGTCTCAATCATTCTAACGACTTCATGCTCCACATAATGTTTTTCGAGCCGTCTATCAATGAGTTCGCTGTAATCTTTGGTCTCAATGGCTCTGAGAAGCAGCGGCCGTGCCTGTGAGTTCATGTGTAAGTAATGTATTAGTAAAATAGAACCCATCTCTTACTGTAACTGAAGATAAGTTTTGAAGATTGGTTTTGTTACCCATTCTACCAAACTCTCTTCTCCTAGAGGTTGGTTCTGGTCAACTGGTTTCCGTCCCGTTACAAGCTCTAAGAGAACAACCCCGAACGAGAAAACATCGGATCTATCAGTCAATTTTCCACTTGATGCATATTCTGGTGCTAGGTACCTGAAAACACTAAACATGTTAATCTTGATCCCTATGTCAAAAATATAGGATCATTAAAAGCTTAATCTTGATCCAGTGGAATACTAAAGAATTGGATCAATAAAGGGTCCAGTGCTTTTGGAGAAATGTTTGTGATGACTGCTTACCCAAAGGTCCCCATAACCCTAGTTGATACGTGAGTTTGTGTTGTATCATTGAGTCTAGCAAGTCCAAAATCAGCTACCTAAACACCAGAAAACAATAGAAGAACCAATAACAAGTCTCATCAACTAAAGCTAGAGTCATATGATGGATATAAAGTAAAAAGGGGTTTCTTTATTACTTGTGCTTCATATTCATCATCCAGTAGAATGTTTGCCGATTTAATGTCCCTGTGAATGATTTTTGGATGACCTATAAAAGAAAACAAAGATGTTATTTTCGCATATCTTTTGATCTATCATGTGCTTAACCGAAACATCCAACAGAAAAACGGTTTTCTCTTTAAAAATTAGCAGCTTGTAACAAATGGATAAATTATGTTAAATCTTTTGAAGTTCCAACTTAAAACCAATTGGTCCAAATCTCTTTATATTATTCATGTCGCATTTCTGATGTGAAAAAATATTCTTACAAATTACTTACAGTCTTCATGCAGATAGGCCAACCCTTTAGCTGAACCTATAGCGATCCGGACTCTCTTCGACCATTCTAAAACTGGCCTTCCCTTTCCTATAAAGATAGAACGTGTTAAGTAAGTCAGTCTAACACATTAAGCTAAAAGTCCTATCTATAGCGGAAACGCTACACGCCACTCACCATGCAAATGATGCTCCAACGTTTGATTCGCAACATACTCATAAATAAGCAATCTATGCTGGTCCGAAATACAGTAACCAACCAAAGACACCAAATGCCGATGGTGAACACGGCTGATGATCTCAACCTCTGCCGTGAACTCACGATCACCTTGTCCGCTCCCAACTTTAAGCTGCTTCACAGCAACAACTTTACCATCATGTAAGGTACCTTTGTATACGCATCCGAACCCACCTTCACCAAGAATGTTGTGTCGAGCAAAGCCTTGAGTTATCTCCGCAAGCTCTTGGTAGCTGAAATGAGTCTGGTTAGTTCCGAGGATGGCAGAGTCAGGCATGCTATTGGATTGCATTTGGTGAGCGGTTTGGCTCCCGTAGCTGTTTCCCATGGAGGAATGTTGCTGCTGAGAATTGTACACTGAACTACCACCAGGACCAGAGTATACTTTACTAGGGTCTTGTCCGTATGAGAGTCCATCTACGTTATTAGGCAAAAGGAAAAAAACAATATCAAAGATAAAACATAGAGAGGTTCAAATAGAGTGATTAAACCAGCTAGGAGTTGACCTAATCGCTATAACTCTTGGATTTTCTAATAGAAATTCAAGGGGTCGTAAGTTCGACTCGAAAACGAACTGCTTTCCAAAAAATGCCATTTTTGTTATTTTTTGTGTGGAAATATAGGGTTTCTTTTTTTTGCAGAATTATAAAATGAAATTTTGCATAGGATCTAGTAAAATAATGAGACGGAAATATATTTAACATGATTTGGGTCTCGTTTAGGACATGTACCTAGCCTTGTAATCATTAAAAACAAAGAGATTAAAGCAAAGATTTTTGAAAACCTGATTTGACAGAGAAGTTAGGGTGAGGCAAGTACTGTGAGGGGTTATAGCTATCAATGTTTTTCTTTTTCTTTCTTCTAAGTAAGAACACAACGGCTATAAGCGCCATGATGGCAAAACCACCAGCTACAGCCACACCAACCATTATCTTCCCTTGATTGGTGATACCATTGCCTCCGTTTGTTGGAGGTGTTTGCTTGCTAGGGACTGTGAGAGATGGAGACACAACGGCTCCACCGGAACCACCGTTAGGTCTGGGTGGTGCAAGAAATGAGCTCGCCGTCGGAGGGGAATTTGCAGGCGCTGATGGTTGAAATGGATGAGGTTTTGTTGGATCTGAGGGTGGAGCAGGAGGTGAATTGGTAGGTTCTGATGGTGTAGTAGGAGGAGGTTCTGTCGGTGGGTTTTCCGGGTTCGTTGAAGAATGTGATGGTGAAGGAGGAGATTGCACGTCTGAAGATGGTGGTGGTTTATCGGATTCGCTTGGAGGAGCTGGTGGTGTTTCTGAATCTGTCGGAGGAGAAGGGGTTTTGGTTGACGTTGGTGGCGGCTGAGGAATGTTTGAGTCTTCCGGAGGAGGGTTAGAATCTGGAGGAGGAGTTTCTGTTAATGGAGATAGGATCCAAGGTAGAGGGAGTAGTGAATCGGGAGGAGGGGGAGGAGGTTCTGTGTCAGACGGTGGTGGCTGTGATGAGTCAGCCGGTGGGGAATCAGACGGTGGAAGAGCAGAAATCTCCGATGAAGATTCTGGTGGCGGAGCTGAATCGGCTGGTGGTGCTGGCGGTGAAGAACTTGGCGAACCTTCTGACTCTGACATTCTTCTTCTTCCGATTTATAATCCAGAAATTGAAACACTCAAAGTTGATTTCTAAAATCCACAGAGTTCGTCTGATATAATCTCCAATTAAATAAGAAGACAATTATCTTTCCTCCAAATTCTCTATTTTTGTCAACTTATTGATTTGAATAATGAACCAAAACTCAGAAAAACCACAGTTATTGTTTAGTTTTCTCTCCTACCAGATTTAAAAAAATATATATATTTTTAGGGTTTATAAATCCAGGAAGACCTTTGAATCAGGTGTCGAGAGAGAGGAGAAAATGCGAGACATTTTAGACATAAAGGACGTTAAAGGAAGCAGAACCACTTCCTCTCTCTCTCCCTCGATTTATTTTCCCAGAGAAGAAAAAACAAGGATGAAAAAGAGAAAGTTGTAGGCACCTCTCCTGTGCCTGCCCTTTGATCTAAAACTCTTTCTCTCCTTCCTCTCTCTCTCTCTCTCTACAATATTATCTGGTTTCTGTGTGTTTTTTTTTCTGTTTCTCCTTCGTGTATTGGTTCCTTGTTTCTTTTGGGATGTCACTCCTTTATTCCCGGGTTACCGCGCAAATTCAATGGACTTTTAAACTGTGATTAATCGGACTCTTTTGAAATAAGAAGGATGTGACGTAATTCTTTAGCGGGCCTATTAGTTTGGCAATATAAATGGGCCTTAATCAGAGAGACACGTTACATAACATATTACATCATTTTTTTGGACTACATATTACGTCATTTTTCCCTTTTAACATATTAGATTTCCTCAGATTGACATAACTTAGTCACGAAATTCGTTTTTACCGTCACAGATTTGAATGGTGGTTACTTCTTTTTGATAAAGGGCTTGTTTATTTAACTTTTTGTCCCATTCACCATCCTAATTTCAAAAATAGTAGCATCGTAATAATAAAACCCATGGGAGATATAATTCTACCAAATAAGTAAAAGGGACTAAACTTTAGCCAACTGAGCTACGGCATTGCTTTAAAAGGAAAACCTACCACGTTACTCGAATTTACTACCTCAAAACTAATATAGCTACCACCAATCTGATATTTCTATCTTACCCGATCCTATTAACAAACTTTATTATTCATGTCCAAAAATGCATTTATTGACTCTGTAGTATATTCTTGTAACTTGTAAGCCACTAGAAAGTTTACACCACCCCTAAACAAACTTAACCACAAAGAAAGTTCATCCACAAGGAAAAAAAACTGTAATTAAGGAAGTAAAACCAAACTTTATCAACAAATCTTAGATGAGAAGATGATGATGTCATAAAAATAAACCCCATCGTATCCAATAATGCAAATTTAAATGTAAGGGTAATAGAGTCATTGCACACGTGATCGAGTGGTTAAAAAAGAGAAATGTCTTGTAGTGCAAGCTCATCGTAACGGCACCGCTTTAAAAAACCGTTTATAAACTTCTCTTCCTTGTTTCTTCTACACATTCTCTTACTGGTTTTTCCCCTTTCCCAAGAAAACTTCTCTCTCTTTCTCTCTCGAACGTTGCGATGGCGGCGCAGGTCGAGATCGAAGACCAAGCTTCCGTCACCGAACTCGATAATGGCGAAATTTTCGATCCACTCCCCGACGACGCCGATTCCTCCTCCTCCGGATCGACAACGATTCTCCTCCGCGAAGGAAACCAAGAGCACGACGTCATCAAAACGTGTTTCCTCTCGGGACTAGGCCCCACTCTCGTCAACGAAACGACGATCTCGAGCGTTCGTAAGAAATCAACGGAAGGGATCACGACGCGAGCCAAGTTTCTAGCGTTCCGGATCTTCACGGAGGCCATGGCGAGGAAGAACGGCGGAGATCCGAACGTGAAGTACGGTTGGTACGGTGGATCCAGAGAAGAGATCGAACGTGTCGTCTCTAACGGATTTAGCAGCCGCGAGGTAAACGACGGCGTTCGCGAACATGGAATCGGAATCCATCTCGTTCCTTCTAAGTACTCTCTCTTAGCGTAAGTCTTTTTATTTTTTTTAATTTGTTAATTTTTATAGGTTGTGATGTAACGGTGTCGTATTGTGTGCAGAGTTGCAGGTACAGAGCCTGACGAGGAAGGTTTAAGGCATCTTTTATTGTGCCGTGTGCTACTCGGGAAGACTGAGCAGATCGTCTCCGGTTCTAAACAGTCGTGTCCAAGCTCGAGTGAATTCGATTCCGGCGTGGATGATTTACAGAGTCCGAGAAAGTATGTTGTGTGGAGCTCTGCTATGAACTCGTGTATCTTGCCGAGTTACATCGTTAGTTTTAGGTCTCCTCGTCTCAGAGGTATATATGTTTGTTTACTTTCAGTTGAGTTTTGTGTTTGTCTTAGTTGTGTGATCTCTAATATGTGTTTGTTGCAGTTATAAGTAGAGGTGGTTCTCCGGTAATAAGACCAAGCTCGCCGTGGGTTAGTTTTGCTGCGCTTATGTCAATGCTGTCCAAGTCTATGGATGCTTCGAGAATGAGTTTGATTATGAGAACTTACGATGATTTTAGGGTATGTCTTTGTTAATTTAATTAATGAGTGATTGTGTATTGTTTTGTTGAACTCATTAATTTGGATATAATGTGAGTTTGTTTTTTTTGCAGAAACGAAAGATCCAGAGAGATCAATTGGTTCGGAAGATGAGGCAAGTAGCTGGAGACAACCTTTTGGCTCAGATAATCAAGAGCCACAGAGACAAGTACAAGAACAGGGTTTAAGGAAGGATAGATAAAAGGGTAAGCGAGACTTTTTTTAGCTTTAAAGTTTTTTGATTTTTATATGAAAGAATGAATCTGCTTTCCATCGGCTTTCTCATCTAATCTTAATCAAATTGATAGAGAAAGTGAAAGTTGAAAAAGTTTTGTTCTTGTTCTTTCTTATCGAGCAAGGATTGAGATACATCAAAAAAAAAATCATTTGGGTGAAAAAGGGATCTTTCTTTTGACGTGTGTTGTTCCAAGTTCCAACTCATGCAAAATTTGTGGCCGTTCATTTGCTTTCTCATTAAGCTTAGACAATTAAGGAATTTATAGTCTTTCTCTAGAATGTTATCATTGACTTTGATTTCTTCTATTACTTGCAGAGAATGGAATAGCTCATCAATTGTGGAAACTATATCTAAGAGTTGTTAAGCTCTTAGTTTTTCTTCTTTTCTGATTAGATGGTACAAAGAAGAGGATCCCTTATGATATATGAACTTTCGAAAATTTGTAAAGAACATTCTTTCACATAGCTAATGAAATTTTCATCATTTCTAGAACAATCAACAAAGTTTAAATCATAATATCGTTCATTACATCATTCTCCATCTCTCCTTTATTATGTCATCATCTTTTCTCTTCTCCAGTACAGTGATATTTTCTCTTTTTTTTTTTTGGTGCCATTTTCTTTTTGATCATCTTTATCATGGCGTTCTCCTCTTCCTTGGATCCAGGGTCGGATCGGAGTACACCCCAATGAAACATTTGTCTATATTTTCTAAAGAATATAAAATTACAACTTACAAAATATACTGTTTTCCATGTTTGTTGCTTGATGTCTTTGCACGCCAGTCGTGTTCTGCGATCTCTCGAAGTGTTACACCCGTAAGTTGAAGCACTTGGAGCAGAGTTTTAGTGGTGTTGATGGCGATTCCATGAATGTTCCAAGAAAACGGTACCAGATTAAACGGAGTATAGGGTTGAAAGTAGTATTGGTTTAGTATCACTTTCGATGCAATCTTTGCTTCTCCACCGCAACATTTTTTGTATTTTCCTCGGCTTTTAGGCAACTTGTTGTGCTTGCATAAAACGTTCTAAATCTACGTATACTAGCTCCACATTATAGGCTATAGCGACCCTCAAAAACATTTTATATTTTGCCTGTCCATAAACAAGCAAGAGAAACCCAAGCAATTTATGTTTTCACAACACACAAACACAGACATGGTGACAAAGTGCCGGTTAATAATATCTTTCTCTGACACTGACTCAGGTTTAATACTATCTGATCTCTTGGATTCCGCCTACGACAATAAATATAATCATTAATTACCTAGTTTATACATTTGGCCAGTAGTAATTTATAGTATTGATAGACCTCTGATTCATGGAAATAAGACTAACCTAAGGTTTTTGACGTCATAAAGTCAACCTGATTTTCCTAAAACTTGTTGTTGATGAATATAAGAATATACTGTATTAAACTTGTTGTTTTTCCATTTCTTTTTTTGCTTGATTCCTTTTTTTTAACAAATTTTGCTTGATGTCTTTACTTAGAGATTTTGCGCAGCTACTAGCCATATTTTGGATCAATAAGAGCAGAGTTTTGATAATATAGAGGGTGGTCCCACGAATGTACCAAGAAAGTGGTGCAGATTAAAAATAGGATGTGGCTGAAAGTATGGTACATTGTACTTTGGACGCGCAATCTTTCCTTGTCTGCTGCTTTGCTACATTTTTTCATATCCTTCTCGACAGTTTGGCAACCTTTGCTTGCACAAACGGTCTCAATCTACCTTCGTCTAGTATAGTATACAAAGCATTGAAACGAAAAAAGCAAAACCAAACAAATTGTATTTATGATTTGGAATATAAGATAAAATGAAAATTTGTAAAGAATAATATAACTTTAAAGTTGCCTGACCTGCAAGCAACACGTATTGTCTGTAGTGATGAATGATTAAGAGATCATTTATCTAGATACATCACTGGTTACTCCATTCACTTTGGAAAATTAAGAAATCATGTGTAGTAAGGTTATAGTATTAGAAAATTATGGGAGACAACAACGATTAAGGTTTACAATAAAGTAAAGTAAACATCCGAGGTTATTTTGTATTGTTGCTGTTCATTATATAAAGGTTTCGACAATTAGCACTCCGACGTTCGTATCTAGATAAAGTGATCCGTTATAATGTCTAGTGTTTGCGTTTTTTTTCGTCAACATGATATAACGTGCCAATACCGGGAATGAAAGAGTCTCAAACACTTCGGATAACGGCGCCTCGAATCTGAAGCTCTTCCATTAAACTCTTAGTTTTTTCGGTGATGACCCGTTGGATGTACCAAGAAAACGGCGGCTTATCAAGAGGGGACATGGGCATATAAACTTGGTCCAACGTCAAATTTGACGCAAGTAATCCTTTCCCCCCTGAACATTTTCGGTATTCTTCTGCGTTTTTTGGTTCCCTAGCCGTGCAATATTTATCACTATCTACGTACCATGGCTTTATTTGCAACTGGCCCAGAAACCTTTCCATGTGCATTACACCCTTTTTCGGAGTTTTATATGATATCTGTCCACACAAAAAAAAACAATTTAATTTTCTCAAAACTGAACAAAAAGATTGATATTTGTGAAGATTTCATACGATGAGATCTTTTCGGTTCTCATTGAAAACTAGATCTATTGGCATTTCTCCCTTCCACCTAAGAAACTTCCAGGGCGCAATTTTTTTTACTACCACGACTTTCTCATCCCTTCCATTGTCCCTATGAACCTTGCTTGATTCGATACCCTTCATAAGAGAAATATCATTTTCTCAATTATTGCTATAATCAGAGCTTATAAACAGGATTAATGGTACAATTACAAGAAAAGAAAAGAAAAGAAAAATAGAAACCAGGATTTTGCGCCTTTTCATTTGAAAGAAGTAAGAATATGTTCGGTTGTCGTGACTAGTTACGATATCGAAGACTGTCTCAGGAGGCAATCCTATTGAAAAGGTCATCTTCAAATGAGTTTCACCTATACTCGTTTTGGACACCTTCAAACATAAATGATGTAATAAATTTGTTAGATCTTCTTCTTATAATACACAGACACTACATGGCTCTTGTATTCAGACCCTCAACTTAACGGGACATCAACAAAGTAGAAGTATAACTATGAATCCAAAATTGTATTTAGTGGTTAGTAAATAAATAAACATTCAATTGGAATGCTTGCTAACTATCCTTTATTCCTGTATTTTCTCGACTAAAAGCTTTTGTTCATGTATCTGTATAATAAAAATTATTGAATTAACAAAAAAAATTGTATACTCTTAAAACTAATTTTAGTATTATCTCACAATCACACAAGTTTTACATATTGCAAGCGTCAAGGCAAATCTAAGTATTGGGAATTTGTTTGCTGGTTTGTGATCTTACCTTCACCTCAGGAGTAATATCTTGCTGCCATACGATTTTCCTCTCATAAGCTTTCCACAACTTTAATTGCTTCTTCGTTCCTTCACTCTCCGCATTGGTGTTTATCTCCGACCCTGGCTTTGATTTTACATTCTTAGGTTTCTTGGACTCGGCCTGCAACAACAAGCAGAGTCATAACCTAGTTTATGTAACTAAACGATATCTTTTTTTTTGTTAAGTTTAATTAAACGATATTGTAGTTCGTATTCATTTGACTCTTATGGGTTTTTTTTATTATCGAAATGAAACTGACCTTTGGAGGTTGTTGGTTGTTCTGGTTGATCCAGACACCAAACCCAGGAAATATACCCATTTTCTCGGTAATTTTAGTCCACAGATGATTCTTATTTAATCAGAGCAAGAGCAAATGACGATCCAAATATTTCTATATCATGTGGTTTGAGGTATATCTTGGAGCTAGACAACATGCAATATGAAATTGAAAGAATATAATAGTGAGGCACTGGTGGTGCAGTTTACGTATACGTTTTCATAAGGCAAAACAAGAAGTGAGCTGCTCGATTCCCGTGAATTCTTGACGTAGAGGCAAGACCTACGTGAAGAAAGAGGTGATCAAAGGTATTATTTCGTGCTTCCTGCTATTCTAACTTTTTAAATCACTAGTATTATGGCCCCTGCTATGCAGGGGCAGAATTATTGTAAAAAATAGAAATATGAATATATGAAGTTAATTTAAATCAAAAGAAAATACTATTTTGATAGAACCATATTCTTGCATTCTCAACATAACAGCAATAATGTATTTTCAAATGTTCAAATAATGTAATGTGAAAAGAAAAATAATTATATTTTGGGTCCCTTATATTTTCTCATCGTATGAAAGCATAACATGTTTCTGGTGATGGTCATGAGTGTTAGTGTGTTAGGCAATGCGTGAAACTGTCTTATTTTTCTCAACAACTAACAAAAAAAAGATTAATTCAAAGATCTCCAAATGAATAAAACTAAAATTATTCTTTCAAACACGTTAGGAAAATACAACTACCTTGTATGGTTTATTTCTTTACAGTTTACCAAATAACTTGCAAATTTTGTTGAATTCTTAAGCTACAAATCTTAATTCATAAAAACTGAAATTTTATGAGGAACATTGATTACCATTAATTTGGATGAATATAGAGATACAAACCTTTAATAACTGACAAATGTTTTGATGGATGAACTTGAACGTATTGATAGAGCGTTACAAGTTTGAACACCATGACTGGTACACCTTGAGTTGGTGTTTTCTCGTTTTACTTCTTTATCCAGCAGTATTGAGATTTTATTTTTTTAAAAATGTTTTGGGTGCTCTGAATTTTATTTGAGACAAATAGTTTACAGTTTTTTATTTACTCTATTAAAGTTGGAGTAAATAAAAATTTTAAATGCATAAAAGTGGAGATCGTGGGAGAAGATAGTTAGTGGAAGAATAATTTTATTGAGAAAATAGAAAATATTATAAATGAAAAAGAAACAAATTGAAGACAGTTTTATCCAACGAAATTTTTCAAAAAAACTGCAAGAAAAAAAATAATTTAACTTTTCAAAAATGCCATTTGTCATTCACAAAATTGTCAATTGACTTGTGTTTTATAGTATAAAAGATAAGGAGGTTAAAAGTATATATGTTACTCTATTTTCATCAGTAAACTTTATCAATTAGTTTTGTAGTCAGATTGCATATAATTGAAAGATCAGTCTTTCAAAAGTTAGAATTGCTAGGAATGTATGAAAGCATCAATGGGTTTTATTTATAATTTGAAAACAAATCAGAATCATAAGCTTATATAAATAATATATGTACATGCCATACTATTAGTTTAATTTATATATGCTAGAACGAAAGCAAACTATTTTAATTCAAGTTCGACCTGATTGACCAGATTGCATTATCCAAAATGCTTATTTACTGGGCTTCCAGTTTTTCTTTTAAACTTGACCAAACGCACGCAGTCGCAGGTATCTGCATGCCGCACTTCTATAAGGTTTTCCCACTAAGGTGCTGTTTGTTTCACCATCTATCATCTCCATCCAGCTAATCCATCTAGATGATTCATCTAGATGGTCCATCCACATTTTTGAGATTGTTTGTTTGTCCATTAAGATGGTCCATCTAGATGGATCATCTAGATAAAGTCATGTTTGTTTCTCTGTTTTTCTTCTCCATGATTTTAGTAAAAAGATTACTAAAATACTCTTATTTTGATTTAGTCATATGTAAGATATTAATTTTAAATATATTTTTATAATTTTGACGCGAAAATGTATTTTTGCGGAAAAACGGGGTTGTGGTTTTGGCGAAAAAACATGTTTTGGCGGGAAAACGCATTTTTGTGGTTTTAGTTGGAAAATGCGTTTTTGCGGTTATAGCGGGAAACACATTTTTGCGATTTTAGCGGAAAAATGCGTTTTTGCGATTTTGGCAGAAAAGGTATTTTTACGGTTTTGGCGGGAAAACATGTTTTTGCGGTTTTAGCAAAAAACACGTTTTGGCGGGAAAACGCGTTTTGGCAGGAAAACGCGTTTTGGCGGGAAAACGCGTATTGGCGAGAAAACACGTTTTCGCGGAAAATCGCGTTTTTGCTGAAAACGCGTTTTGGCGGGAAAATGCGTTTTGGCGGGAAAACTCATTTTTACGAGAAAACGCGTTTTGGCGGAAAATCGCGTTTTGGCGGAAAAACGAGTTTTGCGGTTTTGGCGGGAAACACATTTTGCGGTTTTAACTGGGAAAAAACGTTTTCACGGTTTTGGCGGAAAAACATGTTTTTGCGGTTTTTGCAGGAAATCCGTTTTTGCGATTTTTAGCGAGAAAACACGTTTTTGCAGTTTTGGCGGAAAAACGTGTTTTTACGGTTTTGGCGAAAAAATGCGGTTTTGTCATTTGAGGAAATGTGGTTTTGTCATATAAGTTACAAAATAATATTATGTTTAGGTTTGTAATTTATGAATTATATAAAGAGGTATAATAGACATTATACAATTTTGAAAGAACCATCTCCATCCAAATGGTTCAAATTGGTCCATCTAGATAGACTTCAAAATTAAGCATAAAATTTCAAAGTCATCCAGATGATCTTCAAAATTAAACAAACAAAACTCTCATATCCATCCAGATGAATCATCTGGATGGTGAAACAAACAGGCCCTAAGTATAAGCTTTGGCCATCAGTTAAGAGCCACACAAGAGGAGAAATCATGAGAACTTGAAAAGGAGTACTCAGAAGATTTCTCAAATATAAACCAACTTGCTCACGTCATCCAAAGACTTTTTCTGATTTCTGCCATGTAGTCGAGCTAGCAAAACATGACGGGAGATATGATCTAGCATATTAGCCGATATTGTTAATCTATAGAAATATGATCTAGAAAATGATCTAGAAATATTCAATCTTCAGATACGACTATTACTATCTGAATATTTCTACTACCTCTCAAATTATATTTTTCTAATCACGAAAGGGACTCTAATTGCACATTGTATGAGTTCCGTCGAAAGTTTCTCATCGATATATATTGAGAGGATAATTATTTATGCTATTTGAAGACAGGAACCGATAAATGTCAGACCAATATAGTTCCTCAAGAAAAAGGAAGCGATAAACATTGCAAGACCAATAATGCTATCTTTGATCAATACCTCTGCTACATTAGGTCAACAACTAAAGAATTAGTTCTAGCTTCTATTTTTCAACCATTCGTAATTTCTTTTTCATATAGTGGTATTTTATAAATTATATATGTGGTGGTCTTTAGAAGTCTTCAAAAATATCCGACGACAATGAAGAGGTCTTCGAAGTTTAGCTGGTAACGCCCAAAACTCATTACTCCAAATACAACTTTAATACATATCCAACTTATAACAGGTAACAAAAGTTCAATTGTGTAGAGATTAGTCTAGGATCATAGAATATGTTGGTATGCAAGATATAAAACTAGACGATGGATTTGACCAAATAAGAATCTTTGAACTTTAGACGATATTATAAACAATTACTACTAGTATATACTGTTTATATTATTTTTTCGTGCATCACCAGGTCTTTTTTTTTTATAGTTTAGTGATGTATATTTGAGTGGTGGGATGTCGATTTGGCAAAATAATATTTTCCTCAAGCGATGTCTTAAATACAATTCAACTTATGCATGCTATATAGCAACCCAAAAAGAAAGTACGTTTGCAATAAACAATTAAACATATTGGACTAGTATTATCTTATAGACACAACATTCGTTGAATACTATGAAAAGTCTTCTGACATTTATTTAAAGAAACAGTTTGTAGTAAAACATGTGGGAACCAATCTTGTTTTATTTTTCTAATCACGTGGGGCTAAACTTGGTTATGTCCCCATGTATCAATCTAGAATAACGGAACCGTTAGTTCCACGCGTTAGTCAAGGTATTCTACCGTTAGTTTTGACTTTTCGCCAACGCTGAAGATTATGTCAACGTCACTTTCGCGCGTGAACTAACCAACGCAGTTACGCAAAGGCAAAGTCGTTGGGTCAACTTCGAACGGAACTAAACCGTGACTTTTTTCCAGAAAAACTCTTTTACGAATGTTGAGAGAGAGAGAGACGTGGATCTCAAGAAAGAAACCTTCCATGACATTTCCCAACGAGTTTTCAGTAACGAAATGACGATTTTACCACTTTGTTTGTAAACGGTGACACGTTGGTGACAATCACAGAGGTAGCTCACCCACTATTCCTTAGCCCATCACGCGCTTTTACTTCTAAAGTGAGTAACAACAAAAAGGGTGGCGATCTCATGTATGTATATAACTTTTACAATAAACTATTTATGAAAATAACAAAAATGTAATTCTCCTTTTTGTTTGAAAAAAATGACTAAAATAAACCTTAAAAAGTTTTTATAACAAATATAGAATTTAACAATTAAAATAACAAAAATAGTACTTAAATGTTTTTTAAATATATATTTATATTCTTTGGGTTAGCTAATTCTAGATTTTTTTTTGTTTAGAGTTGGGAGTGGGATTTTGGAGATAGAGTTTCGAATTTAAAAAAACTTAAAATTTTCAAAATAAAAAGTGTTATTTTGATCATTTTAATTTTTGAGTTATATTTTTGTGATAAAAACTTAAAAGAAGTCTATTTGAGAGAATTGCCCTTTTTATTTTGAATAATTTGAGTGAAATGGCGAATTAGCGATCACTTAGAGAGTTAAGAACTTTTTTCAAAGAAATTTAAACGATTATACATCTAAATTTACCAAATGAAATTTGGTAGATGCTATAACTTAAAATTTGTATTTATATTCTTCATATTGAACATATGATTGTCGGTTACATTTGCATTTTTTTGTTATAAGAAAGTGATATTCCTTAGAATTCTTAGATTCTATATAATTTCTTGATATATTTGAGATAATAATTAAAAATAACACAATTAATTAACAAAAAAAATACTATCTCTTTAAATTCTAACAAGAATCAAATAGAAATTTTATGCCATTCATAGCAATAAATCACACATTATTATTCTACCAAATCTCTTTTTTTTTGTCGACTTTAATCTACCTAATCAACTCGTTTATTTTGTTGATATGTAATCCTTGTCAGGATATTATACGAACATATCACTAGACTGTTAATTTTGGTTTTTATTTAAAGAAACCACAATAATGTTGAAAATAAAATAAAGAGAGGTTCGTTCGCAGTGGGTAACTTATCTTGACGAGACAACCAACCATATATATATAGGCTTAATGTCAATATTAAACATTTAAGTCTCTTCTTCTTACTACTTCCTCTTCACACAGCTGTAAGATATAGAGAGATTTTGTAATCAAGATGCAGGTTGCTTCCCCTTCTCCCCCGCCGACGAAATCCATCGACGACGAACGCTTAACAGAGATCTCCATGAAGCTGAGCGAAGATTTCGCCAAGAAGCTTGGAGTTTCAGAAGAAGGAGCAGAAATTCGAAAACTCGAGAGATCTTGGAGTAAACTCGAAGACTCCGTCGAAGAAGTAAAATATGTAGAGGAAGAAGATGAAGAAGAAGAAGAGGAAGAAGAAGAAGAAGAAGAAGAAGAAGAAGAAGAGTTTTCGTTTGCTTGTGTAAACGCACAAGGATCTCCGATAACCGCAGAAGAAGCTTTCGAGGATGGTCAGATCCGTCCTGTCTTCCCTCTCTTCAACCGCGACCTCCTCTTCGACCAAAACGACGCCGTTTCAACGACCGACGACGACGACGAGAGTGTCCGGCCGCGTCTTAGAAAACTGTTCGTGGAGGATGAGAAAGCAGAGGAGGGTTCGTTCTGCTCGTGGTCGAGTGGAACGGTTGCGGAAGCGTCGTCGCCGGAGACTTGCCGGAAGAGCAACTCGACGGGGTTCTCGAAGCTGTGGAGATTTAGGGATCTCGTGTTGAGAAGCAACAGCGACGGAAGAGACGCGTTTGTTTTCTTGAACAGTAACGCCGCCGTCGGTGACAAGTCTTCGAAGAAGCCAATAGAAGAGGAGAAAAAGTCAACAAAGACGACAAAGGGTAAAGAGAAAACGACGTCGTCGTCCGAGAAGAAGGTGGCAAAATCGGCGCACGAGAGGCTTTACATGAGAAACAGAGCGTTGAAGGAAGAAGTGAAACACAGATCGTATCTTCCGTACAAGCAAGTTGGGTTCTTCACTAATGTCAGTGGCCTTAGCAGAAACATCCATCCTTTCTGACAAATTTCGTCAGACTAATATTTTTCTTTTTTATAAAAATAATTAAAATTGTAAGTTTTAGGTTTGTTGGTTGTTTTTTTTTTGTTTGATTGGAAAACAAATGAAATTACTCTTCTCATGGGTCCCTTCTGTTTGGTAATTTGGTTTAATTGATAGCAGAAAGGTGTACCTTTTTTCTTTTCACTGTTTTAAGTGTATTGTGGTGAAGAGCTTGGCTTGTATCAAACCATTTTGTAAGTAAAAAGAAAAATATATATAAGATGCAATTATTTAGACTTGGCTAGTTATTTGTCTTCTATTTTGTTCATATTGTACATTTGTAAGGACAACCAACCCCCTTTCAATCTTTTGATAAGGAAATATAACGACTACTAGAAGTCTTGAACATTCAAATGAAGACAATTCTACGAGAAGAGCACTCGCATCCAAGCCATTTGGGATACACTGGAATATAATCGGGATTGGGATAGCTATTCCCGTCATTCTTTGTATTTAGTTCCTTAAAACTGTTTTCGTTTAAGGCTCAATCTCAACCCACAATTGAGCTACCCATTTAAAAGTGTATAATTTACAAACATGGAACATTATATAAAATATAACAGTGATCACAGATTCACAACAATGCATGGTATCTATTCTATTAAAATAGAGTCATTCTTTTTATCTACTGATACAAGTTATCATTTAAATTTGAACCATTTCTAGAGTGTTACAAATAATATAAGTTATATAGTTGATTGAACTGCATTACTTAAAATAAACTGGCGGTTATTTATGGAATAGAGTTTTGGGCTTACTTTTGTTTTTATGAAATTTAATTGTTTGGTTTTTGGGCTTAGTATTAAAAAAACTCAAAAAACAGTAAATAAACTTTTCACCTTATGGATCAAAAATCAATTACTATTTTCAAACCCCAAAAACATTTAATATTTTCAACAAAACAAAATTATCTATTATTAATCACTTATTTAAATAATGTATTTTAAAACATGTTAATATTTATTAGCCCAAAAAATATTTAATATTTTCAACAAAACAAAATTATCTATTATTAATTACTTATTTAAATCATGTACTTTAAAACATGTTAATATTTTTTATTTTAAATAACAATCACTATATCTTGATAAATTTTAATGGTAATTTTTAAATAATTTATTTTTTTTATTTTTCTTAAATAATTTACAGATTTAAAAAAAAATGTAAAGCAAAACCAAAAACCAAATCTAAAAACTAAAATCCAAAACCAAAAGCTGAAAACGCATGTTATATTTTCTGTTTTTTTTTTATTTACAAAATAAACTATTTCAAAAAATTTAGAAAATTATTTTGTCATCTTTTCAGTTTTAAATTACATGTTTGATTAATTGAGATTTGTTTGTTGGTAATATCAGTTCAAACTAACTCAGCGGGTCTAAAAATTAAAAACCCAAACCAAAAGCTGAAAATCAAAAATAGAAAAAAAAAACAAAAGCCAAAATTTAAAACAAAATATAAAAATAAAAACTGAAACTAAAAACTAATGAAAAAAACTATCACCACAATTTTGGTAAACTAATTTTATACCAAAACATTCTTTAAATTAAGATAAAACTCAATTATATATATTTTTAATCATAAAAAATTTCTGCGTTTTTCATGCGCGGATCAAAATCTAGTTAATGTATTATGATGGATTGATGGTACTTTGACACAATAAGTTCAGCATAGCAATGGGGCATATGTATAATCTCCATCACCACTACTGTCATGTCATCGTTATATAAAGGCAATCAGAGGCAGAGCTGTCTTAACAGCAAACTTAAAAGCTTGAACTTCCGGCCCAATGATATTATTGACACAAAATAGTACAGAGATAATGAGTCCGAAATAATTTGTCGTACAAAACATTATAAATTTTGCAAACATAATTTGTCAATGGCCATATTTGTTTTGGGCTTCTGGCTTTCAGATTTAATGGACGGACACCTGACCACAATAACCGTCACTATATATATGCCACACCACCATTGCTATAACAATAACCACTGGACTTTGATCCGCACTTGGGAACCGCGTGTTTTGTTTTCGTTATAACAAAAATTTTGTATTATATGATAGTTTTATGTTTGAATGTGATGTATATTTAATATTTTAGTTGGGTTTTTTCATTGATTTATGTATAATTGGGTCAGTTTGTGGTTGAACCGAGAATCTGAAAATTAAGTATTGTAAGAGTATGAAAAATTAAAACACATATTAGATCCATATGAAAAATTGGATGATCCACTAAAACAAAACTTGGATGGGTCCATAGCCCATAAGAGGCCCAAAATTGAAATTGCTCAAAATTGTATTACAAATTTGAAGTTAAATCCAATAAAAATGATTATCAGATTTTGCATGTAGAAAAGAATTCAAAAAGAGTAATCATTGTTTGACATGGATAAATGTAATAAATATACGAAATCTTTATCTAAAAATATGGATAATATGACCAAAATGTCAAATCATTACGTCATGGAAAGAACATCTTAAAAACACCTTTATAAAATAATCATTTTGGAAGATGAGATATATGTCAATCATATCAGAAGTACATTTCGGAATTGTCAAAACAAAATTATAACAAACTTCATTATAAAATTAAGATTAATAAATAAGAAAAAACTAAATTTAAAAATCGAAAAGTTGTTTAATTAAGAGAAAACATATATTCAGTATCTAAGCATTAAACTTCTAAAAAACAGTAGAATCTATATAACATAATCTATAATACTAATAAACATAACTAAAACCATTATTTCTAAACAAACATAATCCTAAAACGCCTAAAAGATGAGTAAATCAAGTAATAAATAAACAAATAAGAGTAGATCAAGCAATATTAAACATTAATAAAAAAATTTAAATATAACAAAACCGGTTGTAAACAACCGGTATATAGTGTTCAAATTTAAAATAAGATTAAACATAAACTTTAAAACTTAAGTTTGAGATTGAGATTTGTTAGATGTTCAGTCATACATCATTGGCTCACCCAACATGAACCAATCAATAGTAGGAACCTGAACATCTTGAAGCTTGGCTTCGGCTAGGACCAGCTCAAACTCTTTCATCTTCTTCTTATGGTACATGGAAAAAAGACCTTCACATTCTCCAAGGAACTCAAGTTTTGCATCAATGCGAACCTTATTGAGTTCCTTCTGATGCCTTGCCTCAATAGCTTTACTCTGGTCACAATACATCAAGGAATAGCCCTATAACGCTGAATGGTCTCAAACCTACCCATCTCGTAAGCCTCCTTCACCGTTTCCCATTCTTCCTCGATCATGTGACCTTTCATTTTTTAGATTCTTGTTACCTGCCATTAAGATACTTCTCAATGTTCAAGAAACAAAATATTAATTTTAGAAAACAAAATATAAAAAATATGAAAATATAATAAACCGTAAATATTTATTATGCTAGATGTAAGATCTAACATAAATTAACATAAAATATTTGTTAACCCCAAATAATCTTCTATATTTATATCCTCTAAATTTAACACATTTACAAAATATTCAGAGAATGGAACATAAAACCGTAACTGATACTCTAACCCTAGAATGATAATATTCAATAAAATATGAACAAAGAACCTAGCGACAGTTTACTGATGTTAGGAGTTTTCAAGGCTCCTAAGGCAAATGTTGTAGTATAGATGATTGTCGAACCAGTTCTGAGGGATTTAAAAGCACTGAGAATGCAAGTACTAGCTTAATCTAAGTGCGATCATGTGATTGATTGGTTTTTAAGGTTAACTATAACTAAAATGCAATAAAAGATATAACTTTGACAATGAAGGTAAAGGAGAATTCATGGGTATAGGGAATTTGACCTTGGGTGATCAAGTTTCGATCTAAGGGTGGCAAGCGATCAATTAAACTGTCTATCTTATGCCTAGATACGATTCTAAACAAGCTCTATATCTAGATGAATGTTCATTTACTACCATAACTCAAGCATCAAATGTCTTTGGTTGAATATTATGAAAGTAATCATTTTAGGAATAGATCTATTAGCCATCTTAACACCTTTAACAACAAGTGTCCCTGGTAAAGACTGTTAAAAGCTTAAGAGAGTTGACTCAGACATTTCATCGAACACTTTGTGAGTGGGAAATGTCTAGAGATCAACTTTTGAGTGATCAATTCAAAAGAGGCAATATGGTTACTCTAATAAGCAAGGAACAAGAGAAATCTAACACTAAAACATCCTAGATCTAATCTAATCACCCTTAATCTCCCTAACCCATAAATTCAAAAGGTGATTACTCACTAATCTCCATGATTCCTCTTAAACCCATATTGGATTTCAGATTAAAAATGTAGAGAAATAGATAAGCAATCAACAAGAACACTCAATGAAAGCAATGAAATTTCAATCCCCAAAGAAGTTTTTCTTCAAGAAGAAAAGATAATCCGCCTTTGGAGGCTTACAACGTAGTTTTAATTAAATTTCTGAAACTCAAAACAGTAAAGACGAAAATTGCAAAAAGGTCCTCAAAGTCTTATTTTCGCCACATAAAAGACGCACAGTGGGGTCACAACCCCGCTGCCAAGACCCCGCTCCGGAGATCACAGCGAGGTCACAACCCCGCTGCCAAGGGCCGCTGTGAAAGCTCTCTTTTTCTTTCAGAAAAGGCGAGCGGCCCCCTAGCCCCGCTGCGTGGGTCCGCTGTGGCCTGGGCCGACCCCCTGATTCCGCCCCGTGACCCCGCTCCGGCTGATGTTGCTTGCAGCGACCTCTTGACTCCGATGTGGCTGCTCCGGCTCGCCAAATGACATCTTTGCACTCTCTTTTGGCACATAATTGATCCCAAACACCTCCAAGAACTCCATAGCATGTTCCACCTCCTGATAAAGACAAATGAATGCAAAATGCAACCTAAGAATGCCTAAAACTAATCTATATGCTCAACATGAACAAGAATGCAAGGTTAAAACCAAGTAAATATGCAACATATCATTTACTCTAGGCAGATGATTCGAAACAGACTAAGATAGAACAGATCGAACAAAACAACATCTCTTATATGCAAAAGGATAGAAAGAACAAAGAAAAAAAATACTGTTTTCCGATGAGAGAGAGTAAGATGAAGAGATATTATGGTTACTATAAACAATTGAAGAGTCTTATATAGATAAGAACTAAATCTAAACATTAGTGGGTCTAAAGACTTAACATAAATAGGTAAGAAGACTAATAGCCCAAAAGATATTAATAATTATGGAGTCCAATATAATTGATTTGAAAA